GCGCCCTGTACCGGCAATACCTATGGACTCCAAAGACTCCTGTCATACATGCGCAGGAGCGAGAGACGTCGGAACGAAGAAGAGAGCAAGGAAGGGGAGTTATGACGCTCAGGAAGATCGCAACTCCACCCCCCTCCAGACTAATACCTTGGATTACAGCATGCACGATAAGAGCGCAGAGGGTAAAAAGGAGGGGAAAGGTGTGATAATTAAAGACAACCACAATTGTGGGATCACCCCCATAGAAAAACAATCTATTGAACTATCCCAACTGGCTCGGAACACCATGTGTGATCAGCTTGATGACAGTTGGGCACGAGGGAAGGGGATTAAGGACGGAAGGAAAGACACTCATGGAAAAAGTGACTGGGTAAAGCGTGATTGGGGAGACGGAAAGGACAAATGTGGATTACCACTCGAACCCAAAAGGGAGAATGAATTGAGGGATAGAAACAATTGGAGAGATAGAGATTTCACATTACCCACCTCAGAATTTAAAAAGAAGAAGGTAGATGAAGATATACACGCAGCTAGGAAGGACAGAAAGAAACGAATCACCGGAGCACAATTTAGTCAATTGGGTCCGGTGACGAGATCGAGGAGCCGTGTGCAGACTTCGGCTTGCCTATAAAAATGACTCTCTCACCCTGGCGGCCCAGCCCTGATGATGCCGGCAGATGACGGCGAAAGCTTGGCGTTTTTAAATTAAACTTTTATAGTTTTAATCAATACCTTGGTGTTCATTTTATTTTGGATATGAATATTCCCAGGGTTCACATTTTTAACGTTATTAACTAATTAAGAGTATGTATAAAAGAGAACATTGAATTAGATGGTCCAAGGAATCTAGCTGTAATGAAAAGAACCTTGTGGATATTAGCTACTCATGGAATAAATCAAAGAGAATTTATTAGATGCTCTGAGCTTTCAAATTGCATCATTTCCAAGGCTAGGAGTAACATATCTTTAACATAACCATGAGCGTTTCTTTCATTACTATGTTTCTTGATCATAATTTACTACAATGATAGTATGGCCAAGTTCATGTGATTTCATAGATGGCCAAAAATAGTTCTAAAAGCAAAGCAAACCACGGTACAATGAAAAATAGAAAGACTGGCTTTTTGTAGTTTCCTCTCCAGACAATGAGAAGACTTCAGATTACCCATAAGTCTTCCAGATAGTTGTTCCTCACGAGGAGGTAGCAAGACCAGTGGGTTTAGAGCTCAGAGATGAGGGAATAGACATATTGCTCATATCAAAGTTGGCACCTTAAAAAGGAACCCCCCCCCCAAATGAAAATGCAAGTTCTAGGAAATTATTTAAATAAGACTAAAGATCAAGTCTGTTAAAAGGATATAAAGCTGCTTTATTTGATCAAGGTTAAAATGCCATCTCTGATAACTTTTAATTGCCAGGACTGAAATGAGGTTTTAAGAATTTTTTTTTATAGATAAGGGGATGTATGAAGAAGAGAGCATTTTGTGTTATTTTAGGAAAAAGTCATAAGTTACTAAATGTTTTATACTTTTGATGAAAGCGTCATCATTTCTTGATATATATCTTCTTTTCTTTACTATATTATTTTTTCTTTCCTGCCCTTTCTAATTTTTTATTTGTATTAGTTTTATTGTTGTGATTGCAACTTTTAATAATATTACTATTAAAAGAAGTTGAAAGGCAGCACACCTTTTTTTGAGGCAGTAACAGCAATCTCTGAATAACACTTAAAAAGACTTCTCAGGTGGCAATTTCTCTCACTTTTCTTCAGCAAAGAAGAATTTTAGTAAACTCCAGTCTGGCTTTTTGGTGGCTGTCTTTCAGAAGTGGGTTCTTCTACCCTGGAAGCCAGTTTCAGTGAGACAACAACAGATGGTGTGACTCATTAGTGCTGTATCTTGAATCTGGGGGTCAACTAGGATGTGTTTTGAAGTTTTCTTGGTTCTATCTCCTCTTCTACTTCTCTATTCTGAGTATGGGGGGTCCTTGGTGCTCTCTGAGCTTGGATGTTTTCTTGCAGATGTTTCATTACTCAAACTAGGTAACATCACCAGTAGAGAGTGAGGTTGCTCTCCTTGCATATTTCAGTGACTTGCCTATCAGTGTTGGTTGGAGTGGTCCTAGATTGGGCTGTTTACTGTTAGCTTGGTTAGCAGTTCCTTGAATGGGGTATTGTTTACTGCTTATTAATCTGATATTAATCCTGGTGTTAATCTCTGGTTGTCTGAGTGTTGATTGCTGGTGGGAGGTTTTGGGGTCTTTTTCTCCTCTTTTTGGCTTGATTTTCTCTTTTGAATGGTAGTAAATGCTGTTGATGTCTATGTGCCTGTTGATGATCAATTTGTCAGAGTGCCAGGCTTCCAGGAATTCCTACCAACACTGACAGGGCAAGCCACTAGACCACAGGTCGGCAACCTGCGGCTCCGGAGCCGCATGCAGCTCTTTGAGCCTTCCCCCGTGGCTCCCAGCCTCCTCTGCCTTTGCAGAGAGAGACAGAGACAGAGAGAGGCAATTGCGCTTCCCTGCTTCTCTCTCTCTCTCTCTCTCCCCCCCCGTGTGTGTGTTTGTGTGTGTGTGTGTGTGTGTGTGTAAAAGAGAGTGTACTCACAGTGTTCTCCGAGGAGCTGAAAAGCTTACTGGGCGGAGCTCCTCCCTTTTCTGCGTCTCTGCAGGAAGCAGGAAGGGCAGGAGAGAGCTAGCTAGCCCAGCTAGGCTGACTCAGGAATTCTGGGAGTTGAAGTCCATGAGTCATAAAAGAGACGAGGTTGCCTACCCCTGATCTTGTTGGAAACAGCTTGAAGCTTGCCAGGTGAGCAGCAGATGGGGGGGGGGAGAAAGAGAGAGAGAGAGGGGGGGGGAGAGAGAGAGAGAGAGGAAAGAGAGAGAGAAAGAAAGAGAGTGGGGGAAGAGGAGCGGCAGACCAAGGGCAGATAGAGAGGGAGGGAGGGAGGAAGAGAGACAGAGAGAGAGAGAGACCCTTTTGACATCTAAAATGAAGATAACACTGCATATATCCTTTTTTACCTGTATGTGTATGTAATTTTATTCTCTTAAAGCATTCTCTTGGTGATCATTGTTTTAATAGTATGGATATTCCCAAGAGTGATATTTTTACTTTTATTTTTAATGTATGCGTGTATGTATGTATGTATGTATGTATGTATGTATACATACATACATACATACACACACATACATACACAAACACACACACACACACACACACACACACCTATAATAAAGGTAAAAAAGGATATATGCAGTGTTATCTTCATTTTAGATATCAAAAGGGTTTTGCGGCTCCCGGTGTTTTGTTTTTGGTGGGAAACGGGTCCAAGTGGCTCTTTGAGTGTTTTGGGTTGCCTACCCCTGCACTAGACTATAAATTGAGAGCAAATCCCACTTCCTACTAGCACTGATGAAGTTACCTAGTTTGGGTAATGAAACATCTGCAAGAAAACAAGAAGCTCAAAAAGCACCATGGAACACTTATTTCAACTCTAAGCTACAAATTTCCCCTATTGATACTTGAATACTTTTCCTCTGTTGGTACTTGAATATTTTTCCCCATTCAAGCAGGCTGAGTATCTGATTATGAGATTGAAGATACCTGTAAAAGTAATTAAATAGTCTGCTTGAGAATTCATTAAAATCCAATAATGTCTTTTAATTTCTAAGGGTAGCAACAATTATAGCAATAGCACTTAAGACTTACATACCGCTTCATAGTGCTTTACAGCCCTCTCTAAGCGGTTTACAGCATATTGCCCCCAACAATCTGAGTTTCTCAAATATTTCTAGTCTTTTAGTGGTTAATTAAATTGTTAATTTAATAAATGGATTTATTTTATGATCTTATTCTCTCTCTCTTTCTCTCTCTCTCTCCCCCTATGCACTTTTATTGATAAAACATCAGTCCGAGAGTGATTAGTGATAATTAATTACAATCACTATAAAATTAAAATCATCTTTATGAATCCTTGGAATATAGTTACACTGGAAATCAAATCAATAGATTGAATGAAATACTACCATTTCATCTGTCAGCAAGAGACGAAATCTCTAGTATTTTCCTTGCTGAGTTGTTTCATTCATTTGATATATGTTGTGTAATTTTTGTAGCCAAAATAATAGAGCATGACCTGTGCTGTAAAATGTGCTGATTACAGTTGTGCCAGACTGCTTGTGCAGCTCATTTTATGTTGCACATGACAAGCTCCAAACCTGGGATGTGTTGGTCTGTGCTAGAAATAGCAATTTGGACGATCTATTGAAATAAAATGACGTTCCCTTCAACTTATTTTAAATGGTTCTTTATTTTCACATGAAAATCTCAAGATTCCCTTTCTTCTCCTGAATGGTGTTTAATTGTATTATTAAAAAAATAATAAGCCTCCTTTGCTTTTTATTTTAAATCTGAGTTTTATGTTTTATGAAATTATAAATAAAAATGGCATTTTATATTTATGTCATAATTTTCATGGTCACAAATACAAGCTTATGCTAAAGCAATTTTCTGTTTTGCTAGAAGAGCAACAGTGATGCTGCAAATAATATTTAAAAACAAAGTTTTGGTAAGCTAGGAAATTGAATCTTTTGTTAGGTTAATTTCCACATAGCAATCAAATGTAAAAGTTCTATCCGTTTGTGAGTGACATTTAATGTATAAATAACAATTCATTTGCATTATGGACAATAGTAAGCATAAAAATGGCATAATGTTTGAAAACACCTTTCAAGCCTTCAGTTGGCTTTGTGAAACTGAATATGGTCAGACTTTGTGCAGCCTGAAAAAAATGGAGATTTTCTGCATCAGCTTCATCCTCCAGTCCAGAGTGATTTATATTGACTGTCAAAAGATTTCTGATGGTTTCCTTTCTTCATTTAGCTTGTAGTACTCCAAACTCCTTTGGGGGGAGGGGGAGAGGAAGAATAACTACAATACCCTTCTGTGTTTTTCTAACATATTTTAAAAAGTTGTTTTGTGTTGTTTCATATAGATATTAAAGGGATACAACTGCCCCTCACCTTGCACAGAATGGGCTGCTGACTGCTGTAAATGAGGGCAGATATTCAGACTGGATTTGACATTGCTGTCTACCTATCGAGTCCTTCCCAAGGACCTGGGATAGGCAGATGTGGGTGTCTGATGGTGTTACATGTATCATTGCAGAATGTAAGCTGTTCCAAATAAAGCTGCCTTTTGCAATTGACCAGTGGTGAATGTGTTAATGCCTATGGTATTCAAGTGATGCTCCAGATATTTTAGGATTGCATCCAAAGAGATGATGATTACTATTATCGTTGTTGTTGTGGTTCATTGTGCACAGATGTTTAGACTGAATTTGGAATTTTTGTTCAGCTATCGACTTGTTATTGCTGTTGTTATTGTTATTATTATTATTCCCCCCAAGAGTCACTATTAACAAGGTTTGCATTTGGTGATTTGGCATTTGCTAGACTCACAGAAAATTTTTAAGAAAAGTACATGTAAAGACTTAGCAGATGCATCCACGCAATTTAAGCTTGGTTAATGTCAGCCTTCATTTGTTTCCTAACTTAGCATATTGTGAAAACCTGGCTTGGTTGGTTATTTATGCTTTAACATATTTTGTGAAGCCAAAAAATGGGTGACTTCAGAAGCAGATTATGGACATTGTGTGAATGGACTCTGGGTAGAAGTGTTTTTTTCTCTTTAGAGTATTTTTAAAGCTTCTCAAGCTAAATTTTTAAATGTTACATTCCATATTCATGTTTTTAACATTTTAATTGTACCGCGTCCAGAGTCCGTCTGTGAGGGAGATGGGCAATTTCTAAACATACTAAATACAATAAATAAAATAAATGAAAAACATTAATTAATTGTAGCTGAAGGTGGAAAGTGAGTTTCGAATTAGGTCAATCCAATAATTGTACAAATGACGGTCAGGCTTTCAGCAGGAGGAAAGGCTGAGCCTCACTTTGGACTAGCAGCCTGACAAGGCAGTTGGATCAAACCAAAACAAACAACACCGAAAGCTGGAAATCAAAATTTGCTATGTGCAGAGCTTACAATGTGGCAGATGAAGAAATAAAATGTCTCATTGGGACCCCCTGAAATCTCTCTTATAGGGTGATTTCTCCATGAATTTTGCTTCCTCATAAAAAGAAAGTAGGGATGACTAAGAAAGAAGACCCAAAGGTGGGGGGGAATGCCTTCTTCCTATCAACTGTTTGCAATCTGATGCCCTTTAGATGTATGGGACTTCAGTGCCCATAATCCTCAGCCCAGGAAGCTATACTAGGCGAAATTGCCTATCTTCTCACTTCTGCAATAGGAGGCTTGGAGTGAGAACCCATTGATTGTGGATGGTGCTTTTGGTCAGTCAAGGAGCGGCCCCTGCTTAGGCCTGGAGGCTCTGCAGGGATGAGAGACCACCCGGAAACCCTAGGGCGAGAATCAAAGGCTTGTTATCTCATGAGCAATGTATGTGGTCTTCTAGTCCTCTGAGCATGGCTGTGCCCGTGGAATAGCAATCGCCTCAGCTGTAAATGCTAGAAAATGGCAGCAGAGAGCCACTCCCATGTTTCGGCTGAGGAAACTGACATGGGGCCCTCATTTCCTCTTTCGTTTGCCCCTGAAGGTGAAACCAACTTTTAGGAGGGACCCTGAAACCAAACAGTGCCAAAGTGGGCCACAAAAGAGAGCTGGTATTGTTGTTGTTTTTCCTCTAAAGGAAAGAGAATCAAGCTGGCTGAGGGAGAACATGTTCAGTTGTAAACAGGGAAATCCAACAAAGAATTCTTCTGGAAAACCATTCCCGGGTGAAATTCCACATGCAAATTGTGCCAAGGCCCAAATTGGGTTTTTCTTAGATATAAGGTTCATGCTTTGATTTGATCTAATACTTCCAGATTTGGTTGAAAAAATTGGCCAAAAAAGGTCAACATGGCGGCCATGATGGGGCAATCAAAGCTCTGCCTCTTCAGCACTTTAAAAAAGGGGCAAATTTTTATTGTCCTGCTGTGGCTGCCATCTTGACTTATTTTTACCACAGCCTGCAGACACCCATTTTCCAGGATTTACTTAATGTGCCATCTGTATGCATGTGGGTTTTAAAAAGCATTTCCAGTTTGAAGTTCATTTGGGTTTTGTTGAGAAAATGGGTAGAGAAATCTTATAACATTGTCAACCTGGACTGTCTGTTTGTTTGTCTATATGTATATTTATTTAATAATTTGGTTGGTTGAGTGTGAAGTGACTCTTATTGTCAAAGGAGTCGAAAAGCTACCAGAATTTAAAAGCACAGCAAAATATAGTGAGAGCTAGTTAGCTAATATAGATGATAAATAATAGATTATAGGTGATAGATTAGATTGATGATAGATGGATGGATGGATGGATGGATGGATGGGCGGGCAGGCAGGCAGGCAGACAATCTGCCATCTGCCTTTTCTGCTTTGCCTCAGCATCCTGACACTGAAGGGGCTGAAGGGCTGATTTCCTAAGGGGAGAGTAAAGAAAATGTAGGTTTTCTCAGCCTACAAGATGTGCATGACCACATGACTGTATATACATACATTTACGCATACACATCCTCCAGTATAGGGCTCCTTGTCTTCAGGATTTATGCCCTGCTTCTCCCCCCCCCAGTCTCCAGGATGGATGAAATGGCCTCCCCTGAGGACAGCTCTGTAAATCTTAATTTTGGAGGATGATTGTCTTTTGCAAGTGAATCTTTCTTCCCTGTTGTGAATAAGCCAGGAATGGTCTCTAAAAGGCTCTCAAGGCAGGATAGCATTCGGAGAAAAAAAGGCCATCAGAGGTCAGGCTTGGGAAAGTGGATGCCTTTTACTACAATTCATTAGCCAGAAAAAGCGCTATCAGATAGTTTGCGCAATTATGGCAACTTTGCGATCTGTGTGGCCCAACTCCCAGAATTGGAAGTCTCAAAAGTGCTTTTTCACCTTGAAGATATTTTACTTTTCATCCAAGAAGTGAAATGCCTTCAAGGAAAAACAAAGTCCAGTTGCCTCTTGAAAATGCACCTTTGAGATAACCATGACCTGGATGACTGAGAATCTCCATAGACACTCCCAGAACTGGAGTTAGAGAGCTAACAGCCAGCTGACTGCAAACAATATTAATCCTTCCATTCCCCACCAGTTAGTTAGAAACTGAAGAGGGTTCTTGGATGAGAAGCAAAATGTTTTGAAGAAAAAAACAAAGGAAGTCTAGTTGCCTTTTGAAAAAGCACCTTTGAGATATCCAATTTCAGGAGCTGAAGTCCATACAGATTGTAAAGTTGCCATAATTGGCTGCTTCTAATCTATAGTAGCCAAAACTCAGAAGAAACCTGATAGCACTTTTTCTGGCTAACGAAAAGAAAAAAAAGACCAGTTGTCTTTTAGAAAAAATACCTTTGGGACAACCAGAGTGATTGAAAATTTCCATAGACACCTGTTGGGGATGGACAAGACCAATTCTCAGACTGCTTGAGTCTGAAGTAATTACCCCTATATGTTTCCAGTATAGAAATTATGAACTATACTTAAGATGAACTTTGTTTTTCTTGTTTTTTTGCAGATGATGGTGCTGCAATATCAGTTTTGAGCTGATTTTACATCAGATGATGAGGCGATAGGAGAACCTTTGTATGTTGTCGAAGTCCTCCTAATTCACAACATTTCTTTGGAAACACGATGAGTTTTAAAAGCTAACATATTGGGCTCTTATTGAGGTGACTCTCCAGTAACTCAGATGCCGCAGTATGCATCTAAAATGAACATTTTTCCTGAAAGACAAATGTTGAAGTCTCACAGGAGAACTTATTTAAAAACTCAAATCTTTAATTGGAATCATATATAAAGAAGTGAACCAGAATGTATGTTAATTCTAGAAGAGTTAGAAAATATCAGTTTGTGCACATTTTTGCCACTTGTTTTGTTCTGTGCTTCATGTTTTTTTGGGTAGAACTTGATAGCCCTACGTTTGTGCAGTACATGAAATCTCTCTCGTACAGATACCTCATAAAGAGCTATGCTTTTGTGAATGACAGTCTAACGATTAGCAGATGTAACAGGGTAGCAAGGCATCGGTATTTGATCAATCACGAGGAGAAATGTCAAGGGCAAGATGTTTTCCTCCTGATCTTTGTAAAGAGTTCACCTGAAAACTACCAGAGGAGAGATGCAATTCGACAAACATGGGGTAATGAAGAATACGTTCATCACTATCAGAATGCCAACATAAAGGCCTTATTTGTTTTAGGACAATCAAGAAATTTTTCACTGGGAAGTGAAATGCAAATGAGGCTGGAAAGGGAAGACGAGAGGCATGGAGATCTGATCCAACAAGACTTTTTGGATACTTTCTACAATCTTACCTACAAATTACTGTTGCAGTTTAGCTGGGCAAACAACTTCTGCCCACATGCCAAGTTTGTCATGTCAGCCGATGACGACATATTTATCCACATGCCAAATCTTATTGCATACCTCCAAAATCTAGCACATATTGGGGCTCAGGGTGTTTGGGTTGGGTATGTCCATCATGCAGCACCTCCCGTAAGGAATAAAAAAAGCAAATATTATGTTTCCTATAAAATGTACCCATGGCCTGTCTATCCTGACTACACAGCTGGAGCTGCATATGTTCTATCCAGCGACGTAGCTGCTAAAGTATACCAAGCCTCTCAGACTCTTAATTCAAGTTTTTACATAGATGATGTTTTCATGGGACTTTGTGCCAACAAAGTGGGAATTGTACCACAGCATCACCCCTTCTTTTCTGGAGGAGGAAAGGCTCCACATCATCCTTGCATTTACGACAAAATGATTACTTCTCATGGACATGTGGAAGACCTTCAGTATTTTTGGCGACAGATTACAGATCTAAAAATGAAAAACATTTCTTCTGGAGTTTGGGGTAACATATATTGCAGAATAGTTAATATTATGCTGCTTTGCAGATTATATAATTACGATACATATCTCTGTTCAGCTGCTTTTTCCTAATACTTGAATATCAGAATAGATTTACTGAGCCACAAATGAAGGAGGAAGTCACTTGCTTTCTCCATAACAAATTAACATGAACATAGGAAAAAAAATGCAATAAAAACTTGCCTGCAGAATGCACAGTTCTCCAAAGGTACGTTATAATTATAAAAACAATTTTCTTATTATAATAAAGTTTCCCACCAGATAATTTTAAGAACTGGATAGATCTTAAAGTTAACATTGATACTTCTCAATCTGGAACTATGAAATTACCAAATGGAAATGGAGTTGTTGATTAGTTGAAAAACATACATTTTTGATAAGTTAATATTTGGAGGTTACAAGGAGAAAGATAAAATAATTGCTGTGACAGGATACTAATGTAATAGCATTTTTTTCCACACACAGAGTACTGTCACTTCTAAGCACATAATTACATTTTGATCTAATGTTTTTAGAACTGAATAGCTCTGTATGTTTTATTAGATGATCACTCAAGATGACTTAAACATCTCTGATCCTATATAAATGGTGCTATTGTTGACATTAAACATGTCTGGTAAATTCTGCAAAGCTGTTGTCTTAATAACAAAAAAATGAGAAGGGTTTCACCTTTTTTGCAAAATTTCACAGTTCTAAGTTGCACACTAAACATAAACATCATAAAATTGATGGCCCTGTCTCAGTGCTCTAATCTACAAGGCCCCATTTGATTTATTCAGTTGGTGTTCACTGCATATATATTAACTCCCCAATGATTCCCATTAAGCAAGAAATATTTTTAAGAGATTAACACTAAAGGTACACTCCAGGAACACAAATATGAGCCTTGCAGAACACTTTTAAAATGTGAAATATTTAATGTTTTTCTTTCAAAAACTATGAAATTGGCACATACATGATTAGACAGCATAAATATATTTTAAAATAAATAAACTGTTTTCTGTTCCAGTTTCATAAAGTCGTTTTCTCTTAATCAGAATTTCAATAATTTTACTATTTATAATCTTTCAATTGAAAAATTCTCCCGTTCTGCATTTCTTAATATGAGTAAAGTAACCACATCTTCCATTTACAGAATGGGATGAAACCGGGTTGTGTTGTCTGCATGCCTCTAGGCATACTTTTCTGTCAAAATTTTTGCTTTCCTGTTCCTCTCCTCCCTATGTGGTGAGTTTTGATGTCGAAATTAAGGCAGATTGAATATGGATTTCATTGGGGGTGAGACTTCTATGTTATTCTAACCAGTTTCAAAATAATACAAAGCTAACAACTACTGATAGATCATAGACATAAAATACTTGAATATTGTCTTGCTCTCAAGCAAACATTTGACTTGTCTATTGTGTCAGACTAAATTAAATGCTTATGTTTTTGCAGAATTATAAAGTATTAGCTGGTTGTTAAGGAATAGACTTGTATATTTTTAGCACAGAGAAGAATGTTTAATCATTTAAATACTTTATGAAAGCATCCTTTTTTTCCCTTAAGACTCTTAAGCGTGAGCATCTGAACATTTAATATTTTTAAACAGGAAATTCTTAGGTTTACTGTGTTCCAAATGCAGGGCTGTAATTTCTTTTCTTGATTTCACAAGTAATTGAATTGTTACTCAAGGTATGTGTTGTTACACAACTGTTATACTAGTTTTTACCTGTTTGGTTTGCAGCTATATTTGATTAAAAACGAAAGAAAATTAAGAGCAGCATTTATTTATTCATGACCCTTTTTCTGCACAGTGTTTTATAAAATATATATTTTCAATAAACAAGTTGTATATTTTGTAAATGTCCTCCTCTAATTTTTCCATAATAACAGTTTCCTCTTGTAAAATAGAACATTTGGAATATATTACCTGCTTTTCTTTGAGGCAGCAATTCCAATAATTGTGAATAGGATTTCGCGTCCTGTCTTAGGTGGAACATTTAAACTGTGTGCACATGAGATGCTAAGTTAAAAACATTGGATAGCAAGTACACACTGTGATTTTATCTCCATTGCAGGCAACTTTAACTGTGTTTCTTGGCACGTTATTTCAGCCACAAATTTGGTTTTGGAAACCAGGACATATACTTGAAAACAGCCTGATTTTATCAAAAGGCCTGATTTAATCTCAATACTCTGAAATATTACTGACAGCAATTTTTCATGTACTAAGTATTTTACCTCCTTTGTGGCAGCAATAAAGTCTGTATTCTCTTCTGGATAAAAAGCCCACAGTTAAAGTATTCAAATACAGAATAGAATAGAATAGAATAGAATAGAATAGAATAGAATAGAATAGAATAGAATAGAATAGAATAGAATAGAATAGAATAGAGCTGGAAGGGACCTTGGAGATCTTCTAGTCCAGCCCTCTGCTCAAGCAGGAGAACCTATACCATCTCAGACAGGTGACTGTCCAGGCTCTTTTTAAAAACTTCCAGCAATGGAGCGCCTATGATTTCTGGAGGCAAGCTGTTCCACTGGTTGATTGTCCTCACTGTCAAGAAGTTTCTCCTTAATTCCAGGCTGCTTCTCTCTTGGATCAGTGCTCTGGTGAATAACGTGACCCCCTCTCCCTTGTGGCAGCCCATCAGATACTGGAACACTGCTATCCTGTCTCCCCTATTTCTTCTTTTTTAGACTAGCCAAACCCAAGTCCCGCAGCTGTTGATGTATTTTTTTTTTAAAAAGTGTACCTTAAATATGCTTGTGCTCGTGTAAAACAGATTGTAATTGGAAGAAATATGCTTTGCCAAAGAAACACATTTTAAAAATCTTGTATTTTAAACATCTCCCCAAACATTATGCAAAGGCCTTAGGTTTGGAGAATGGCTCAACCCACCCACCCCCAAAAAACCCAAAACAAGACTATTTTTCAGGGGTCTCCAGAATCCTGGAAGTTAAAACCCACAAGTCTTAAACTTGCCAAATTTGGAGACCCCTGGGCTTTTACTCAAGCCATTTGCTCCCACCCTCAAAATGGCCTAAAAATCGTTAAAAACTTCCCAGGCCTTGTGCAGGGTGTTTACAGAAGCTTGTTGGTAATTTCTCATTAAAGGGAGTATATTTGGCAGGACACATGGGATTTACATTTACAGTATTTATTTTTCTAGCATGGTGCCTTAATGACTATACCAAACTGGCTTATAGATTTTAATATATAGTATTATTTTTATTCATAACACCCAGAGTTATTTTGGAGTTGTGGGGCTGTAAATCTCATAAATAAAATAAAGTAAATAATTCTGGAGATTTTCTGGAATAGATATATTTCCATACTACAAAACATGCCAAAATGCTAATATTTATCTATAGGAATAAAGAGGCATAAGAGAGTGCTTATATAGTAGCCCAGTTCTATAAGCTAATACTTAATGTATCTGGAAAGATTATACAATTACTTATGGATCACATTACAACTGCAGCACATGGCTCAGAATCCTCATTAATTTACAAATGAATACAAAAACAGATTTCTAGCCTTTTCTATAATTGTATAGTAATTTTATCCAAGCCTACCCTCTAATATTGCTTAGTTATTTATTTTGCAGTGGTCTGTCTTTTAAAAAAGGAATGAGTTGTTGATTATTTAGATGAGTTAGATATGCCTGTTAGTCTTAGGAGCTTATGAAATTGTCATGAATTAAAGCCACTGTATTAAAAAAATCAGTATTCATTCAGGATTCTCTTCCGTGTATGAAGTTACAACTGACACAAATTCTTCATGATGTAAATTTTAGAGATCTCTAAAATGGCAACCAAATAATGTGGAAATTGGATTTTGACAGTGGTGGGATTCAAATATGTGAACAACTGATTCTCTGTGTGGATACCACTTCCGGAAATCCATTCTGGAAAAAATTAACTACCAGTTCTGCTGAAGTGGGGCAAACTGGCTGAATCCCACTACTGAATTATGAGCATTTTACAAAAAAGTTTCCATTACAATAAGAAAGTGATTTACCAATAACAAAATTCATGAAACAGGGTTTTGGACCGAGTATCGGAGGATCATTGGAATGAGAAAATATATTAATAACCATAATGGTGCAAAATTTTTCACTTATATCACATTAACAAATATTTAAATGCATTCATATATAAATATTGAGAAATGCCATTTCCACTAAGTTGTGTATAACCTAGTTTTTCCTTTAAAAATTAGGGAATTCGTTTTAAAGTATTATATACATTTTGGTTTCAGAAAAAATAAATCCTCCCCATAAAGATAAGGATTTAAATAAAGACAAACAAGAATTTATAAAGACATATTTATGAATAAATATTCCTAAGCTAAAATGCATACTGATTTATAAATACATTATAAGTAAAGTAAAAATATGTGTGTGATACAAACATAAATAAAATAGAAAATAAACTATATCTTATTAATAAAATATTAATAACTGGTTTTTAGCGCATGTAAACATTTTTGAGAGGAGATACTTCTGACAGATTTTATTTTCCTGGGCTCCAAGATCACCTCAGAAGGGGACTGCAGCCAAGAAATTAAAAGATGCTTGCTCCTAGGGAGGAAAGCTATGGCAACTCTAGATAGCATATTAAAAAGCAGAGACATCACCCTGCCAACAAAAGTGCCTATAATCAAGGCCATGGTTTTCCCAATTGCAATGTATGGCTGTGAAAGTTGGACCATAAGAAAGGCTGAGCACAAAAGAATTGAGGCCTTTGAACTGCGGTGCTGGAGAAAACCCCTGCGAGTTCCCTGGACTGCAAGGCGATCAAACCGGTCAGTCCTGGAGGATATCAACCCCGACTGCTCTTTAGAAGGCCAGATTCTGAAGTTGAAACTCAAGTTCTTTGACCACCAAATGAGAAGGAAGGACTCACTGGAGAAGGGCCTAATGCTGGGAAAGATGGAGGGCAATAGAAGAAGGGGATGACAGAGAATGAGGTGGCTGGATGGAGTCACTGAAGCAATAGGCGTGAACTTAAATGGACTCCAGAAGATGGTAGAGGACAGAAAGACCTGGAGGAACATTGTCCATGGGGTCGCGATGGGTCAGACACGACTTCACAATTAACAACAACACTTCTGAATTCTGGAAAACACTTTTCTTCTGTGTTTTGCAAGCCATGCATCTTGCCAGGTGAAAAAGCTCCAGATCTGATTATTACATCTAAATCATTTTGATTATTCTTCTTTGCATCTTTTTTGCTCCGTATTATTTTTCTGAGACGGGTCCATGTTCTGTTAAATTGCAGGTTCATACAGAGAACTCTAATTCATCCTTTTACAAACAAAGTGTAAAACAGCCTTATCTTCAAAGGTTGTGCTAGAGACCCAAGGAATTAATAAAGGTAGTCCTTGACTTACAACCATAATTGGGATCAGAACTTCTGTTGTTAAGCAAGGCGGTTATTAAGTGAGTCGTGCCCAATGTTATGACCTTTTTGCCACAATGGTTAGTTGAATCAGCGAGTTGTTAAGTGAATCAGGCAGTCCTTAAGTGAATGTGGCTTCCCCCACTGACTTTGCTTGCCAGAGATAGCTAGGAAGCTCACAAATTGCAATCGCCAACACCGCCACAGTCATAAATACCTGCACATTGCCAAGTCCCCAAATTTTGATCACATGACCATGGGGATGCTGCAACAGTTGTAAAATGTGAGGACCGGTTTATATGTCACTCAGCACCATTAGAACTTTGAATGATCACTAAATGAATACCGTATTTTCCGGCGTATAGGACGACTCAGCGAATAAGACGACCCCCGACTTCGGCACCGATTTCCATGCCTAGAAAGTCGTCTTATATGCCAGAAACTACCATAATTTCCGGCGTATAAGACGACTCGGCATATAAGACGACCCCCGACTTCGGCGCCGATTTCCACACTTTAAAAATGTTGTCTTATATGCCGGAAAATACGGTAGCTGTTAGGTTGAGGATTACCTATACGGTATATTTGGAAGTTAAGAACCGCCTTTTCCCCAACCCCACTCATTTTCATGGTCCTGAAATTGCACACATTTCTGCATGCAACTCTTAACATATCACTTCCTTGATCAGTAGAACAGATAGATTTTTTTTTTTAAAAAAAAACAATAATTTTCTGGGAACAAGGAATTTCCTACCTTCTCCTAGTAGAAAGATTTTCTTCACTTTCACTTAATACCAAGACTCTGCTGGAACCTCCCTGACTGGCTTCATGCATCACTTCAATCTGGATATTTGTTTTGGAAAACACAGGAATACAAAACAAAACAAAATAAGGTTTGAGATTCGGGGCTCCTTTATCTGCCTAGAAAGACCATTTCTAAATTTCCTATACAAACTGCCATCAACTGGAAACTCACATCTTTAAAAAAAAAAAAAAAAAAAAAGAAACGAAAATGCAAAATTATCCTGATTTTGACTGTCACTGTTGTTTTGACTCTAAAACTGGTCATCTCACAATCACTTTTATGCTATCCAATTCTTACTTGGCTGCGAATCTTATATGAAAAATAACTGGAATTCATTTAGGTATAATTAACTTTGAAGTCCAGTGACTCCTGAAAAAATTTCTAAATTTTTGGACTTCCGTGTGGCTGTCTGTTTCAATATTTACTCCTCTTCCTCTGTTACTTCCTGCGACTTGATGCTTTTATCTGGGAATATGAGACACTGATGTTAGAGTCTACCTAGAACAGTGGTTCTCAACCTTTTTAATGCCATGACCCCCAACCGGTCGTAAGTTGAGGACCACTCAACCGGTCGTAAGTCGAGGACTACTCAACTGGTGCAGCACCGTTTGCAGAATGGGACTTTTGGCGGGCTCATCAGGGCAGAGACAGCCTGGACAATTCCTATTGGTTTTTGAAAGCCAATAGAATTAGACTTCAAAAGCCAATAGAATAAAAGGGAGTAGCACAGCTAAGGAAAAGGGGAAAAAAATGGCGGACTGCGTTGTTTGGCAACCCCCGTGAAATGGTCGTTCGACCCCAAATGGGGTCCCGACCCACAGGTTGAGAACCACTGACCTAGAATCAGGCACAGATCCTGAAATACTTTGGCCACCTAATGTGAAAAGAGGACTCCTTGGAGAAGACCCTGATGATGTTGGGAAAGATGGAAGGCAAAAGGAGAAGGGGACAGCAGAGGATGAGATGGTTAGATCGAATCAGTGATGCAATGAACATGGGTTTGGGCAAACTTCAAGTGACAGTGGAGGACAGGGGGGCCTGGCATGCTGTGGTCCATGGGGTCATGAAGAGTCGGAAAAGATTTAGCGACTGAACAACAACAGAAGGATTAGGCAATCAAGCCATTTTTGACTGGAGATCAATTTAATTACTATTATTTGATTACTTTTGTTTGATCTGATTCCGAAAATTGCAGAGAACATAGCTGGTGACTGAAGGTGGGCCCAGCCTTCTGGGTATGTGTGTGTTTTGGAGGGTGGACAACAGGTATATTAAACTCTGCCATGATTTGACACCTTTTTTCTTCCTCCACACCTCCACCAAAACCTTCTGAAACATGGCACCACCAAAAATGGATGCTGTAATGTATCTACAGGTAGTCCTCAATTTACGACTGGCTGTTTAACTACCATTCAAAGTTAGGATGAACATCCTGCGCTCTACTTACAATCCTGTTTTGAAGTTCCAATGGCTGCTCCCTCCCCCACAGTCACATAATTGCGTTTTGGGCCTTTGGAACTGGCCCACCTTTATGGTTGTTTGCGGCGTCTTGTGGTCACATGACCATTTTTGGCAAAAAACGCCACTGGGTACAATGAGTTCACTTAACAACCATTGCAAAAAATGTTGCGAAATCTGGCATGGTCATATGGTGACGTGCTTAATGACTGGCACGTCTTACGACCACAATTCTGGGCTCAATTATGGCCATAACTTGAGGACTACCCGTATTACTTCAATTTTATGTGCACTGTTGGCAATAAAATCTTGCGAGGTGGAGGAGGAAAATCTAGAAATTGGAAAAATAGGAGGCTGATTCCAGACTTCCTTAAATTGCTATGGTTGAGAAACATCTTGTGCAACCCCAGATATGCTCCACGAAATTTCTCTTCTGAAAACTTAATTTGCAAATATTACAACTCTCCTACCTTAATTCCACCTTTAGCCTTTTTTACACTTTTCTTTTTTGACAAGTCTGCATCAGAGATGGATTTTGGAGGGCTAGGAATCTCCACTGATCTTCTATTGGGAGCTGGAAAAAAAAAAGTCCAATTAAACAGAACTCTCAAAAGATCAGAAAATGCCACACTACAAGCATGTCGTAAAGATAAGAACTGACAGTTCACTGGATTAGGCAGCATTTCTAGTTTTGTTATCAGATGTCTGAGATAAAATTTATCTAACTTAATTGTGCTGCTTACGCAACAGAATTTTAAAAATCTAGAATTTTTCCCTCTCTCCTCCCCTTTCTATTTACTGTTAGTTGCATTTATGCAACGCAAACAATCTATCTAATCTAAGTATTTGGTGAGAACCCCACCCATGTAGTTACTTGAGAGTTCAGTGTATAGATAGTCCTGGACTTACAATCATTCATTTAACAATGGTTCAAAGGTACAACGGCTTTGGGATAAGGAAAAAGTGACATGACTTGTCCTTGAAATTATAACCAGCCGGATTCACTTAACAACCGTGTGGTGGTGCGGTGGTTAGAATGCAGTACTGCAAGCTAATTCTGCTGACTGCCGGCTGCCAACAGTTCAACAGTTTGATCCTGACCAGCTCATGGTTGACTCAGCCTTTCATCCTTCCGAGGTAAAATGAGGACTCAGATTGTTGGGGGCAAAATGCTGACTCTCTAAACCACTCAGAGAGGGCTGTAAAGCACTGTAAAGCGGTATATAAGTCTAAGTGCTATTGCTATTGCTATTAATAACTGCAGTGAATCACTTAACAACTGTGGCAAGGCAGGTCATAAAATGGTGCAAAACTCACAACTATTGTCTTGCTTAGCAACAGAAACTTTGGGCTCAATTGTGGTCATAAGCCGAGGACTACCTGTATTCAGTTACAAATAGCTCGTGTATGAATTCCCTTCTCTTCCTACGTTTCCCATCTTTTCTTGCTATCCCCTTAAATGGCACCTTACTGCCTTAATCCAGGCTTGGGCAAGGAAATAGAGACCTTGTTAATCAGCGGTGAGAATTAAAAAGACCTAATTTTGCTATTTTTCAATATCTTTGCCTAAGCTGCAATCAGACAAGCCCTGGAGTCCAACCCCTTGCTCACTGGAAAAAATCCAATTTAAGAACCCAAGTGGGGTGGTTAGCCCCTGCTGAACCCTTCCATAAAGGGGAGACCACAACTTGCTGTAAGTTCTACCATAAAACTGTCCCATTGCAGAAAATTCCAAGAGTTGTAAGGTCACCAGTAGTTGAAGAACTATGACACACAAATTCAGAAAGACCTGTCGGACTAGCTTGAGAATAAATGCACAGAAATATTCAGGTGATTAAAAAGACTCTGAAACTAGGTACTGTTCCAGGAACCAGCATAGTCCTAAGCTAACTAGAATAAACAGAGAAAGGATATAGGCAGGTAATACCTGGCCAAGAAAACCATCTCTCTAAACATGAGGTTCCAGAGTCACTCCACCCCTCGCTATCCCCAAACCTTACCTAATGGGGCAGGACGGACAGTTTTAGGAGAAGCTCTTTTGGGCGAGGATTCGGGATGAGGGGCAACGGGTTGCACTGGCCGGGTCTGTTTTGCTGCCAATTTCTTAAGGCTGACTTGTCTCTTCTCAAACATTTCTTGCACATCTTCGAGTTTCTGTAGTACTCTTTGGGCATTGTTCTGCAGGAGAGAAAAAAAATAAATAAATTGGGGTTGTGTAAGAAACCAATGCAATGCTTCTACTCAAAAGCATCTTTTCGGCAGCTGACGCTTGATCTTGGCATGGACCCAGGGTGTCTAACTTTGGCCACTCTAAGACCTGTGGACTTCAATACCCAAAATTCTACAATCCTGGGAGTTGAAGTCCAGCAGTCTTAAAGTTGCCAAGGTTGGACACCTCTGGCATTGACTATCAATGGACTTTACTGCCTTCAGAACAGGCTTTCAAATACCCTTGGATGAACATTCGTCAAACACTGGCTGCCCACTTAGGACTTTACCTTTATTTCTGGGGTGAGGATCATGTCAAACTGGTTGTAGAATTCCTTTGCATTCAGCATTTGGTGGTCTTTCAGAGTTTCCAGGAACTTCTCAATCTCACAGAGTGCAGTTTCAGCTCCCTCTTGTGTCTGGCATTTGTCTACGGCTTGGGAAGCTAAGAGGTAGATTCCAGCTTCACCCCAGTGGCTAGCCTTGAAAAAGAGGAGATGAATATGCTCTTAGAACCTCAGACAATACATTTCCTCAGGTATCAATCACTGGGTCCTCGGGGTGCGAGCAGGGCCATTTCAGGGGAGCAGAAGAATGAAGAGTGGGCACCATTAACATATTTAATGTATACGTTCCCATCGATCTGTGAAATTAGGCGTTTTATAGAATGCCTAAGAAATCTATAGAATGCCAAAAATGGAACAGCAAACACTTAATATTACATACATTCTATGCAATGCCAAAAGGAAGGCCAGCAAAGTATAAAATATGCCTACTAAAATGCCATTCTAGTTTTCCTTGTTGTAACAGGTAAGTCAATACTGGACTTTTTTCCTTGTTTTTTTTTTTTTTCAGTAGGAAAATCCTGTACTTTACTTTGCATTTTTTCTTTCATTTTCATACATGTCTTTTCAATAAAGGGTTAAGGTTAGAGTTAAGATTAGGGTTAGGGTTACGATTAGGGTTAAGATTGGGTTAGGGTTAAGATTAGGGTTAGGGTTATGATTAGAGTTAAGATTAGGGTTAAATTTAGGATTAAGATTAGAGTTAGAGTTAAGATTAGGGTTAGGGTTAGTAGGATTAGGGTTAGAGTTAGGGTTCGGATTAAGATTAGGGTTAAGATTAGGGTTACAATTAGGGTTAGCATTAGAGCAGTGGTTCTCAACCTGTGGGTCGGGACCCCATTTGGGGTCGAACGACCATTTCACGGGGGTCGCCAAACAACGCAGTCCGCCATTTTTTCCCCCCTTTTCCTTAGCTGTGCTACTCCCTTTTATTCTATTGGCTTTTGAAAGCAAATAGAATAGACTCTCTTGAATAGAGTCTAATTCTATTGGCTTTCAAAAGCCAATAGGAATTGTCCAGGCTGTCTCTGCCCTGCTGAGCCCACCAAAAGTCCCATTCTGCAAACGGTGCTGCACCAGTTGAGTAGACCTCGACTTACGACCGGTTGAGTAGTCCTCGACTTACGACCGGTTGGGGGTCATGGCATTAAAAAGGTTGAGAACCACTGCATTAGAGTAACCCTAATCCTAATCTTTTTCATGACTCTCTATTCATACTTTGCCTAAATAGTTCTTGTCATTCTGCAATGCCTAGGGAAACTAACACAGATATTTCATACTTTGCTTAAAAATGTTACACATTCTATAGTTTTCTTAGGCATTCTACACAAGACCAGCTTTTCACACATGGCCAGTAACACATACACCAATTCAGGCCAAGGTGTCTGAACATTTATGGAGCACAGGAGGCAGTGGAGTCAACAGAAAAGGGATCGCGAAAGTTATAACGGTGGCTATAACACATCCTTTTCATGTGTGCCGTAACTTTGAAAGATCACCGTACAAAAAAATGGTGCATCAAATTTACCAGACCTTTCTCAGCCTGTGTTCCCGTCCCTTCTCTTTGCTTTAGGTTTCAGACTAAATTCAGTTCTGATGTTGAGTCTATTTGTAGAGTACAAGTAATCCTTGACTTACAACCATTCATTTGGTGACCCTTTGCAGTTACAACAGCACTGGCTTACAACCAGTCCTTGCACTTAAAACCATCATATGAACCGTCACATGACCAATATTGAAGGGGCTTGGCAACTGGCAGGTATGTATGACAGTTTCTGTGTCCAGGGTCATGTGATCACCATTTGCGTATCAAATATCACGTAACTTCACCTTCAGTCAAGTTCTTTGTGCGTTTGTACAATATGCTCACTAGTTCTGTTGAAACTATTTTTGTAGCAAATTCTGAGGAAAAAAAAAACATTTAAAGGCTGAAGACGTTTCTAATCCACTCAGAGGAAAAAAAAAAACCTTTCATCAGACACACATTTGCAAAGGCCTGGATAATCTGAAAAAATTGTCAAAGCAAGTAAAATCAGCGCGGTTACAGAATTGAGTTTCCTGATGCCAAGATCTGAAACTTTTGCTGGAGAATTCCATTGTTTAAGTAACTGATAGTTGCAGGTAATCCTTGACTTACAACCATTCATTTAGTGCCATTCAATAGTGATTTATGATTGGTTTTCATACTTATGGCCGTTGACGTATCCTCATGGTCACATGATCAATATTCAGTCACTTGGAAACTGGCATGTACTTATGGCGGCTGCACTGCCCTTGGGGTCATGTGATCACCATTTGCAACCTTCCCAGATGGCTTATGACAAGCAAAGTCAATGGGGGAAGCCAGATTCACCTTAACAATTGCAATGATTCGCTTAACAACTCTGGCAAAAAGGTCACAAAATGGGTCATGGTTCTCTTAACAACTGTCTTGCTTGGCAAAAGAAATATTGGGCTCAGCTGGGGTCGTAAAGTTGAGGACTGCCTATAAATTGTTCTGCTAATCGTTAATACTATGGAGCAGTTACATGTTTATGACCGTTATTCACAGTCTCCCAGCCTCTTACCTTATCTAGCTGTCTGTGTAATTCAAGGGATTTCCCCAAGATATTGTATTTTTTCTTGGTTTCATTGGCAAAGTCATCACAGATCCGCCTGAGTTCCACACACTTTGGTCTAATGGAATCAATTGCATAATGGTCATTTTGGATCAGCTGGTCTCCGTGGGCCGCCAAGGACTGAGCTCTTTCCAAAGGTTCCTGTAAAAGAAGGAAGGAACACAGAAAACAACAAAAGGGTTAAGAAAATAATCTATAATTTAATTGAAGTTTCAGGGTCAGGAATGGGCAACTATGGCTGTCAAACCTACAAAACTACTTTGGTTACAGCCATCTTTCTTCATTTTTCAGCTTGCCACAGCTATGGGGGGAAGGAAAGTACATTGTTCTAGTTCAGTCATAACAATAACATTCTTGTGGGAGCCAAGGTTAAATTGCTCAAGTGTTTGGTGGGCTAGAACTACCGTTAGAGCAGTGGTTCTCAACCTGTGGGTCGGGACCCCATTTGGGGTCAAACGACCCATTTCACGGGGGTTGCCAAACAACGCAGTCCGCCATTTTTTACCCCTTTTCCTTAGCTGTGCTACTCCCTTTTATTCTATTGGCTTTTGAAAGCCAATATAGAATAGACTCTCTTGAATAGAGTCTAATTCTATTGGCTTTCAAAAGCCAATAGGAATTGTCCAGGCTGTCTCTGCCCTGCTGAGCCCGCCAAAAGTCCCATTCTGCAAACCAGTTGAGTAGTCCTCGACTTACGACCAGTTGAGTAGTCCTTGACTTACAACCAGTTGGGGGTCGCGGCATTAAAAAGGTTGAGAACCACTGCGTTAGAGAGTCCGCCAAAGGTGTTAATTGGAGAATGTCATTTATTACGTATTTAGTGGGTGGGAAGTTTAACTTTTACTTTGTGACCTTTGGGGGGGGGGACTTCCAGTCTTGGTTTCATCTTTGTTCGTGCTGATATTATGTAGCCATTAAAATTGTTCTTTGAGGAAAACAATTGCCTCAGAGTTCTTATTTCTTCAGGTCTCATCTATTGGAACCATGACATTGGCCCCTTTACAACCTGTGGACTTCAACTCCCAGAATTCCTGGGTCAGCCATGTCATAATCATGTGATGTCTTGCTTAATGACAGTGTTGCTGGTCCCAATTATGGTTGTTAACCAATAATAAGTTATGTTTCAAATGCCAATGATTTACCTGTCCTCTTTCTTCTAACTGTCCTTGTTCCTTCAGGATATGCTCCACACGAGAGATGCTGTCTCCAATATCTGTGAAAGCTGCTTGCACTTCCATCAAGTTGTCCAGTGTTAATTTGACCTACAAGGAAAATGGGCATAAAAAGATGAAGCAAATATGCTACAGTTTCTTGGTTGTTAGAATGCAGTAATCAAGGCAAATCACAGACAATGAAAGGAACAGAATTATTCTTCTACCAAGACAGGCAGACAGACAGCAATAATGCATACTTTCTATCCACAAATAGAATATTATAAAACAGTTCCTCATAATTTGATATCCTTCAGTTATCATTGCCTGCTGGATGAAGATGGAATTTTTAATCTAATGCAATTCACAGATGGCAGTTTGGAAAACACCACAACAGTCATGGATTATTATACATACAAACAGCACTTACCAACCATTTATTCAATCAGTTACCATTTAAACATATGACAGCACTTATGACAAGGACGTTGAGGTTGCAGTCACTGCAGTGTCCTTGTGGGCACGTGATTGTGATTCAGGTGCTTGGCAACTGGTGCACATTTACAACAATCACACGGTTGCTTGGTCATCATCTGTGACAATCTGTGACAATCACAGCTAGCTTCCAACAAAATCAATGAAGGAAGTTGCAAATCACAGTCCTATGACATAAAATTTAAGGACTTGTAGTGATTCGTTTAAAGTCGACAGAGGGAATTGACAGCTTAAATTGGTGTGGACCTGTAACATCATGCTTAAGGACCACACTGATTAGCAACAGTCCCCATTCTGGTTGGTAAGTGAGGATTACGCATACTAGGTTACTCAATGGCTGCGGCAGAAGTACCAACTAAATCATTGCTTATTCATCAGACTTTCAAGGCATCCATGAATTATTTTTACATAACCACAAAACTTTTCCATGATTCTTTAGCAGCTATGTGTTCTTGGTTGTGCAACTCAAATTAGTATATATTTTACGAAATGAGTTGGGACTATATTATAACTTGCTACTGATCTCGTAATTTAAGGACCAGAAACACAACTACAGAGAAAGGATAATAGATCACGAAACTCTAATGACCATTTTCAAATATTCAAAGGATTGTCTCATAGAAGATAATCCTAAATTGTCCTTGTTCAGTTCTCATCTCCAAGGGGTTAACATCAGCTCTGAGACTGGGCAGCAATTTCTATTTCAAACACAATAGATGGGAATTTATTTACTTAAATTTATTTGCTGCCCACCTTGTTTCAGACAACTGAGCGGCTTATAGTTATAATATGCATTAAAAACATCGAATAAAAAATAAACATCGAACACTAGAATAGAATAGAATAGAATAGAATAGAATAGAATAGAATAGAATAGAATAGAATAGAATAGAATAGAATAGAATAGAATAGATATTTTTTCCCTAAAATCGGTGTTCAGATCACAGCTGGATTAGAAGAAAAAAAGCACCCAAGAATCACTGGCTGACAATGACCCCGGTATAGGTTGAATATCTGCTTCTTACAGAAAGAATATCCTTTCTTATAGATTTGATTTTGGATGGGAATAATACCTATTAGGAACAAAACTGATCTGCCAAATTTCCCAGGAGGGAAACAGAGGAGGGGGGGGGGAAACAAATTTAATGGTTAAGAGACATGAAAAACAGTACCTCTCGGAAATTCTGTTCAAAATGGCGGAGCTGCAAACACTGCTCTAATTTTAGATGATGCTTGGACCAAAACTGATCAAAAGCTCTTTCAGTCTCATCCAACTGGGCAAGCAACCTGCCAAAAGAATGACATTTGATTCAGAAACATTTCTTCCCTTGAATTTCAAGGAACTAAAATAAGCCTAGATCAGGGGTAGGCAACCTCGGCTCTTTTATGACTCGTGGACTTCAACTCCCAGAATTCCTGAGCCAGCCTGGCTCAGCTTGGAAACCTCTCCATGCCTTTTTAAAACTTTGTGAGCACTTTTCTGAGGCATAGATATTAACAAATTCACAGTTATGTGCAGACAAAATGATTATGTGGGAATGGGACAACACTAAAATTTATCATAATTAATGTAGGTTGCAATCCCAGGCATGCAAAACCAGAATTGCTGTTCAAATCCACAACCTAACTTTGGTTTATTTTGCTGCTCTTGGGTTGCTATTGAAGAGTCAGGAGAACATTTCCTCACTGACCTTCACAGAACTGCTTTACAACTCAACCTAGCATCATGAAACATCAAACCAAGATGTCCTGGATTAGGCTCTTAGATTAGAAGGCTACGTTAGGTTAGTTGATAGTTCAGTGTGTCATGGGAACCCACTGAATTACAGAGTAACAGAGTTGGAAGGGACCTTGGAGGTCTTCTAGTCCAACCCCCTGCTCAAGCAGGAGACCCTATGCCATTCCGGATAAATGGCTGTCCAATCCCTTTTTAAAATTGCACCCACAACTTCTGGAGGGAAGTGATTCCATGGATTAACTGTTCTCACTGGCAGGAAATTTCTTCTTCGTTCTAGGTTGCTTCTCTCCTTGATTAGTTTCCATCTGTTAGTTCTTGTCCTGTCCTCAAGTACTTTATAAAGAATAGGTGAACCGTCTCTCCAACAGCCTCTCAAATACTGGAAGACTATCCTGCTATCACAGTGGTTCTCAACCTGTGGGTCGGGACCCCATGTGGGGTCGAACAACCATTTCACGGGGGTCGCCAAGCAAGGCTGTCCGCCATTTTTTTCCCCTTTTCTTTGGCCACGCCCCTGGCACCCGGTGATGTATAAGTGGTTGGGGGTCACCACAACATGGGGAACTGTATTATGGGGTCACGGCATTAGAAAGGTTGAGAACCACTGTGCTATCAGATCACCTCTAGTCCTCCTCTTGGTTAGACAGAAATTTGTTAGACTGATCTGAGTTTGCAAAGTCAAAGCAAAATATTTGAAGGATGATGAATAACGTCTGGCTGAAAATCTATCTTCTCCCCACTTGATAGGTCTAAAACAGTGGTTCTCAACCTGTGGATCGGGACCCCATTTGGGGTCGAACGACCCATTTCACGGGGGTCGCCAAACAACGCAGTCCGCCATTTTTTTCCCCCTTTTCCTTAGCTGTGCTACTCCCTTTTATTCTATTGGCTTTTGAAAGCCAATAGAATAGACTCTCTTGAATAGAGTCTAATTCTATTGGCTTTCAAAAGCCAATAGGAATTGTCCAGGCTGTCTCTGCCCTGCTGAGCCTGCCAAAAGTCCCATTGTGCAAACGGTGCTGCACCAGTTGAGTAGTCCTCGACTTACGACCCCTTGAGTAGTCCTCGACTTACGACCGGTTGGGGGTCACGGCATTAAAAAGGTTGAGAACCACTGGTCTAAAATCTCTTTCTCCTCCCTACTGAACAGTAAGAAAAGGCACAACTTTAAACTCCCATGTTGCAAGGATCAAAATTTGGAAACCCTCATACAGGGAAGTAAAGGCAGTCTTTGACTTGCAACCATTCACTTATGACCATTTGACGTTATAATGGTGTTGAAAAAAGTGACCTAGAACCATTTTTCATACTTACGACTATTGCAGCGTCGCCATGGTCACATGATCAAAATTTAGGTGCTTGCCAACTGGCATGTATTTATGACAGTTGCACTGTCCCATGATCATGTGATCACCATTTGTAGCTGGCTTCTACAAGCAAAAGTCAACGGGGGAAGCCAAATTCACATAACAACTGCAGGATTCACTTAACAACAGCAACGATTCACTTAACAAATATGGCGAAAAAGATTACAAAAGGGGGTACAACTACCTTACTTAGCAGTGGAAATTTTGGGCTAAGGGAGACACAGATTGATGTGATTGGTGATGCTGTATCTGTCTATTATTAAAATGGCTCAAATCTTGGCCATCCGCCACAAAGATAACGCAAAGCAGATTTATATAAATACAATTCATTACTCATTTTGAGATTACAGACACATTCATACTTTGGCAGAATGGAGACCCGACGCCCCTCCAAATACAGGTAAGTCCTTGACTTACGACCACAATCGAGCCCAAAGTTTCTGTTGCTAAGTGAGACAGTTGTTAAGTAGGTTTTGCCCCATTTTACGACCTTTCTTGACACAGGGATTAAGTGAATCACTGCAGTTGTTAAGTTAGCAACCCAGTTTTTAAGAGAATCTGGCTTCCTCATTGAATCTGCTGGTCGGAAAGTTGCAGAAGGTGATCACATGACCCTGCAACGGTCATAAACACGAATCAGTTGCCAAGCAATTGAACTTTGATGATGTGACCATGAGGATGCTGCAATGGTTGTAAAGTATGAGACACGGTCCCAAGTGAACTTTTTTCACTGCCGTTGTCACTTCAAACAGTCATTAAATGAATCGTTGTAAGTTGAGGACTCCCTGTATAGTGAACTACAAAACTAGTTAGTTCAGTCTTAAGGTCTTTACCTTTCCACTGTTGCCACGTTTTCTATTTCATCAGGACTGAGTCTGCTGGTGGCACTTCGTGAGACAGGCTCTCGGATACAAGTCAGTAGCATGGCCCCCTGCTTCACAGCTAGCTTCAGCTCATCCTGTAGGACATTGGGACACAAGGAAGAGAAAAAAGGTTCTCATTTAATTCTAAAGTCCTGCAACATCTGCCATGTATTGCTAAAATTGAACCCCAAGGATCCTAGGTTTTAATAATAATAATAATAATAGTAGTAGTAAAGTTGGAAGGGACCTTGGAGGTCATCTAGTCCAACCCCCTGCTCGGACAGGAAACCCTACACCATTTTGGACAAGTGGCTGTCCAGTCTCTTCTTAAAAACTTCCAGTGTTGGAGCATTTACTGCTTCTGGAGGCAAGCTGTTCCACTGATTAATTGTTCTCACTGTCAAGAAGTTTCTCCTTAGTTCTAGGTTGCTTCTCTCCTTGATTAGTTTCCACCCGTTGCTTCTTGTCCTGCCTTCAGGTGCATGTTTGAAGTGAAGACCAAATGAATGGTTGAATCTCTGTCCATTGGATGCATTTATCGGTTTCATACTACTTCTGCCAACAAGGCGTCTATTTTTTTTTCTCTTTAAATTATTTTGTCCAATTTCATTTTCAGCTAATTTCAATTTCAGCTCCATGACTAGCCACCTCCGGGACTTGCCAATGACAATAACCAAGATGAGTTCAATGCTACCACCACCATTTCTTGGAAGCGCTGGCTGAACACAGGGGCTGCTCATTACTCTCTACTGCAGGGGTCTTCAAACTTGGCCCTTTTATAGACTTGTGGACTTCAACTCCCAGAATTCCTCAGCCAGGCATGCTGGCTGAGGAATTCTGGGAGTTGAAGTCCACAAGTCATAAAAGGGCCAAGTTTGAAGACTCCTGCTCTAGGAGATGGCCAGACTGAGCCCAAAGGAGGGGTCAATCTCAAGTCCTTTCCCACCCACGAGAGATCTAAGTTCAGCCCATTTTGAATTCGACTCTTATCTACCGCCAGTTTGCCTTGACTGTTAGTAGATCAGATTCTTGTAGGGAGTGGTAACATGCAATAAACCCATATTCACTGGAAGCGCCTTGGCTCCTGTTTTCCTGCACTTGACAGACTCCCCAGTAAGATGATTTCGACAAGAAGTACACACGGCTAGGTATAGATTTGCGATTGTATCCCCAATGGTGTTGAAGACCCCTGCTCTACCGCTTTGCTCCAACTTCCTGCCTGCAGACTCACAAGTTTCTCCTAATCAGCCTTGCAATAAAGCAGAATTAGTTACCTACTTGTGCTTACCTGTCCCGTTTACCTGGGAAGGCTGACATCAACCTTACAAGTCTGAAAGTATAAACTTCCCTCCACCACTTTTTAACTACTTGGACCATTTGGGTGGTCCATTCTAAGTTTCTTTCTCTGACCGTGAAGCCACTAAGACAGTGTTTCTCAACCTTGACAATTTTAAGGCATGTGGACTTCAACTCCCAGAATTCCACAGCCAGCTGGCTGTGGAATTCTGGGAGTTGAAGTCCACATGCCTTAAAATTGTCAAGGTTGAGAAACACTGCACTAAGAGTTCCTGCCTCTCTCTTCCCTGATAGTTTTCCAGGCAGCATCTTTTTCCCTCGTCCCCAAATGTCTCCATTATAGGGGACCAGGATGGAGATGCACCCCACCTTGCAATCCCCGGAGGCCAAAATTCAACATAGGTAGACCTCAACTTACAACCATTCGTTTAGTGACCATTCAAACTTACAACGGCACTGAAAAAGTGACCGATGGCCGTTTTTCACTCTTATGATCAAGGCAGCATCCCCACGGTCACGGGATCACAATTTGGGGGCTTGACAATTTGCGTGTTATTTATGACAGTTGTGGTGTCCCAGGATCATGTGATCACCCTTTGTAACCTTCTCAGCTGGCTTCCGACAAGCAATAGTCAATGCAAGAAGCCAGTTTCATTTAACGACTGCATAATTCACTTAATAACTGCAGCGATTTGTCCAACTGGAGCAAAAAAGTTCGTAAAGTGGAGCACAACTCACTTCACAACTGTTCTTGCCTAGTCAATTTTGGGCTCCACTGTGGTCTAAATTGAGGGCTCTCTCTATGCCAGGGGTCTTCAAACTTGGCCCTTTTATGACTCATGGACTTCAACTCCCAGAATTCCTCAGCCAGCATGCCTGGCTGAGGAATTCTGGGAGTTGAAGTCCATGAGTCATAAAAGGGCTGGGTTTGAAGACCCCTGCTCTATACCATATTAAGTTGCTCTATACCAGTGGTTCAGGACCCCATTTGGGGTCGAACGACCATTTCACGGGGGGGGGGGGTCGCCAAACAACGTAGTCCACCATTTTTTTCCCCTTTTCCTTAGCTGTGCTACTCCCTTTTATTCTATTGGCTTTTGAAAGCCAATAGAATAGACTCTCTTGAATACAGTCTAATTCTATTGGCTTTCAAAAGCCAATAGGAATTGTCCAGGCTGTCTCTGCTCTGCTGAGCCCACCCAAAGTCCCATTCTGCAAACGGTGCTGCACCAGTTGAGTAGTCCTCGACTTACGACCAGTTGAGCAGTCCTCGGCTTATGACCGATTGGGGGGGTCGCGGCATTAAAAAGGTTGAGAACCACTGCTCTATACCATATTAAGAAAGCTGCAACATTAAGCCAAACAGATAAGTAAATGAAATAATTAAAAAGTGACTGTTGACCTCCTTGATGGGACAGGGAGACCCTGGCAAAATCCCTTTTTGAGTTGTGAAGTCACACATGCTCACCTTCAACTTGGTGTGTTGTTCTGTGTGGGAACACAAAAGTTCTTCCGTGCACTGGACATTGTTGGGAAGTTCTGTCTCCGCCAGGTTTGTTCCAAAGACTTGTAACATCTGTGCAGTGCTTTTCACAGTCATGGCAAAATTCTCAATGGCCTGGGTGGACAGTGCGATTCAAGACAAAGAAAAGCATAAGCTCCCTTGATTCACAAAGACAAGGAAGTATCGATACAAACACTAATGTAATACAAATTATTCATTTATTTGGAATTAAATCCCTCTGGGTTCAAGAAAATTCACTTTAGGGTCAGTAAAACCATATTCTCAGATACAGGTTGTCCTTGACTTACGACCGTACATTTAGCAACAGTCTGAAGTTATTATGGTGCTAAAATGTGACTTATGACCATTTTTCACACTTAAAACTGTTGCAGCATCCCCATGGTCACGTGATCAAAATTCGGGCACTTGACAACCAGCATGTATTCATGATGTTTGCAGTGTCCTAGGATGGGGTAAGCAGCCTTGGCTCTTTTATGACTCGTGGACTTCAACTCCCAAAATTCCTAAGCCAGCATGGCTCAGCTTGGAAACCTCTCCCTTTCCCCTCAGCATGGCTGGCTCAGGAATTCTGGGAGTTGAAGTCCACGAGTCATAAAGGAGCCAAGGTTGCCTACCCCCCCCCATCCTAGGGTCATGTGATCGCCATTTACAACCTTCCCAGGTAAAGCCAATGAGAGAAGCCAAATATGCTTAGCAATCATGTGATTTACCTCCCCGAAAAAGGTCATAAAACTGGGTGTCATTCATTTAAAGACTGTCTCACTTAGTGATGGAAGTTCTGATCCTGACTGTAAGTCGTAAGTTGAGGATTACCTGTAGTTTCATAAAAGCCACTGATATTCTTCATGACATCCCACAAAACCATATTATATCTCTTTATTTATTTATTTCTCAATTTGTCCTGCCAATTTGTCCTGAGCAACGGATTTATTCCGTTCAAAGGAAAACACAGCCAGGAAGGTTTATGGCTCTCTTTTTTTTAAGATGAAGGTGGTGAACCTATTAAGGGACCAAACATCCCAAAATACTTTATATTTAATATTGTTAAGTCTCCCAGAGTCACCTTGAGATGAGATGGACAGTGAATAAATCTAATAAAGAAGTAAATAATATGCAAGCAACACCCTTCCAGTTTATTTGTTTTTTAAATTATCCTTTTTCCATTCAGAGGGAAATGAAGTGTAACTTTACTTGAAATACCAAACCAGGATTTTCTAGGAACATTCTAAGAGAAAACCAAGGGTAAAAAATACATCAAAGGATTTTTTTTATATTTGAGAGTGTGAGCCTAGAATCAGGGGTAGGCAACCTTGGCTCTTTTATGACTTGTGGACTTCAACTCCCAGAATTCCTGAGCCAGCCACGCTGAGGGGAAAGGGAAAGTTTCCAAGCTGAGCCATGCTGGCTCAGGAATTCTGGGAGTTGAAGTCCACGAGTCATAAAAGAGCCAAGGTTGCCTACCCCTGGCCTAGATCAAAGCTGCATTTAGAATTTATTACAGGTAGTTCTCAGCTTACGGCCACAACTGAGCCCAAAATATCTGTTGCTAAATGAACTATTTGTTGTGAGTTTTGCTCCATTTTATGACCTTCCTTGCCACAGTTGTTAAGTAAATCACTGCAGCTGTTAAGTCAGCAACACGGTTGTTAAGTGAATCTGGCTTCCCCATTGACTTTGCTTGTCAGAAGGTCGCAAAAGGCAGTCAGGTGACCCCAGGACACTGCAACCGTCATAAATATGAGTCAGCTGCCAAGCATCTAAATTTTGATGAGGTGACCATGGGGATATTGCAACGGTCGTGAGAAAAACGGTCACTTTTTTAAAGTTGCCATTGCAACTTGGAATGGTCACTAAATGAACTGTTGTAAGTCAAAAACTTCCTGGTTTATTGCCATTCAATATGCTTGACTCACATTTATGACGATAGCAGTGTCTGGGGATCATGGGATCACCTTGTATGACAAGCAAAGTCCATGGGGAAAGCCCGATTCACTTAACAACCAGATCAGTGGTTGAGAAAGATTGTAAAACGAAACTCACTTAGGAACTGTCTTGCTTAGGAACATACATTTTGGGCTCAATTGTGATCGTAACTCGAGGATTGCCTGTATTGATTTCCCTCCATGTCTTTAAATTTGCAGCAAATTGTAAAAGTTGCTTCTAATGTATCTGCTCCATTTGCAAAGGAGACACAAAGAAAAAAAAAAGGCTTTCGCAGGCCCTGTCACCATCTTGGCACACAAACCACAGATGTCCCTGAGCAGCCACTTATTAACGTGGATGTGATCCATATTTTCCAGGATTTGGTTCTGCACTGAACCGCTAAAGCAAGGGGTAGGCAACCTTGGCTCTTTTATGACTCGTGGACTTCAACTCCCAGAATTCCTGAGCCAGCCATGCTGAGGGAAAAGGAAGAGGTTTCCAAGCTGAGCCACGCTGGCTCAGGAATTCTGGGAGTTGAAGTCCACGAGTCATAAAAGAGCCAAGGTTGCCTACCCCTGCTAGTGTTTGACCATTTATGTTCAGTCATGTTGTTCCCTCACGGCCCAACTAGCGATGGGGAACTTTGAGAGGACAATCATAAACTGAAACTATTGCAATGTTCTTTATTGCAAATCAGAAAACAAAGGTGATATTCTGCTTCTCAGTCTGCGTATTATTTCTCATTTAACAGAATAAACAGTCCAAGGAACAGATAGCAATGAAATGCAAAAGGGGTCAGCGAGCCCCCTTTTGTTTTATTCTTTGGTTGTTTTTTTTAATATTTGCATTTTTTTTACATCTTTTAAAATTGTGGGCCATCCAGAATCATGTATTTGAGATGGGAAGACACATAAATTGAACGCATAAAAATTAGATTAACTAATCTATTCATAAGTTATAGAAAAATACATGTATCAGCTTCTGCTCTTTTTTTAAACTTATTTAAAAATCAGTTTATTATTATTATTATTGCTGTTGTTGTTATATTATTATTATTATTATTATTATTATTATTATTATTATTATTATTATTATTATTATTATTGATCATCGCACAGTCAGCCAGATGTTCAGACTGGATTTGGCATTTTGTCTACCTATCGAGTCCTTACCCAGGACCTGGGATAGGCAGATGTGGATGTTTGATGGCATTACAGATATTGTCGCAGAATGGAAGCAGTTCCTAGTAAGGCTGCCTTTTGCAATTGACTAATGGCGAATTTGTCAATGCCAATGGTGTTCAAGTGGTGCTCCAGTTCTTGTTGTATTATTATTATTATTATCGATCATCGCACAGTCAGCCAGATGTTCAGACTGGATTTGGCATTTTGTCTACCTATCGAGTCCTTACCCAGGACCTGGGATAGGCAGATGTGGATGTTTGATGGTATTACAGATATCGTCGCAGGATGGAAGCAGTTCCTAATAAGGCTGCCTTTTGCAATTGACTAATAGCGAATTTGTCAATGCCAATGGTGTTCAAGTGGTGCTCCAGTTGTTTTGGGATTGCACCCAAGGAGCCTATGACTATTGGTACTACCCTTGCTTGCTTTTGCCACAGTCTTTCTATTTCTATTTGTAGGTCTTTGTATTTTGTTATCTTCTCCAGTTCTTTCTCTTCTATTCTGCTATCTCCAGGCACTGCCACGTCCACTATCCAGACTTTTTTGTCTTTCTTATCGACAATTGTTAAGTCTGGGGTGTTATGTTGCAGGTGCTTGTCTGTTTGAATTCTGAAGTCCCAGAGCAGTTTAATTTTATCATTTTCTATGACTTTCTCTATTTTATGATCCCACCAGTTTTTGCTTACAGGCAAATGATATTTTTTGCAGATCTTCCAATGCACCATTGTTGCTACTTTGTCATGCCGCTGCTTGTAATCAGTTTGTGCAATCTTCTTGCAACAGCTTACCAAGTGGTCCACTGTTTCTTCAGCTTCTTTGCATAGGCGGCACTTACTGTCTGTTGCTGTCTTCTCAATTTTGACTTTGTATGCATTTGTCCTTAAGGCTTGGTCTTGTGCAGCCAGAATTAGTCCCTCGGTCTCTTTCTTCAATTTTCCTGCTCTTAGCCATTGCCAGGTTTTATTATTATCTGCTTTCCCAGCTATTTTTTTCATGTATTGGCCATGTAGTGCTTTGTCTTCCCATGCCTCTATTCTGTTCTTCATTTGGTCTTTCTTGTAGGCCAGTTTGGTCTCTCCAGTAGTTAGTAAGCCTTCCTGATATACTAATTTCAGTGCATCTTCATCATTGTTCTTCAGATATTCTTCCAAAGCCATTTTTTCTTCTTCAACCATCTGATGTACTTGTAGCATTCCACGCCCACCTATTTGCCTTGGTAGATAAAGTCTATCAATGTCACTGCGTGGATGAAGGGCATGATTCATTGTCATTATTTTTCTGGTCTGCCTATCCATTGCTTTTAGTTCTGCTTGAGTCCAGTCCACTATTCCAGCTGTGTACCTAATGACTGGGATTGCCCAGGTGTTGATTGCCTTTATGGTATTTCCTCCATTGAGTTTGGATTTTAAGATCTTCTTCACTCTCTTGATGTATTCACCTCTAATCTTTTTCTTGACTTCAGTGTGCTTGATGTTGTCAGCTTGAAGGATACCCAAGTATTTGTAGTACTCTTCCTCATCCAGACTCTTAATGTTATTTTCGTGGGGCATCTTGATTCCTTCAGTTTTCACTATTTTTCCTTGTTTGATAGTAAGTGTGGCACATTTGTCCAAGCCAAACTCCATTACAATATCTTGGCTATATATACGGACAGTGTTGAGCAGCGATTCTATTTCAGATGATGTTTTTCCATACAGCTTCAGATCATCCATGTAAAGGAGGTGGGATAGTCTGGCAGATGTTTTTGATGTTTGATAGCCATGTCCTGAGTTATTCAGTATTGTTGACAGAGGAAACAGTGCAATAACAAATAGTAATGGTGATAATGAATCTCCTTGAAATATTCCTCTCTTGATATTAACCTCTCCCAGCTCTCACCATTGATCTGCAACTGTGTCTTCCATTGTGCCATCGATCTTTGCACAAATTTTCTGATGTTTCTACTGACTCCTGTTATTTCTAGGCACTTTATTATCCAATCATGTGGCAGAGAGTCAAATGCCTTTTTGTAGTCAATCCATGCAACATTCAGGTTGGTCTTCCTTCTCTTGCAGTTTTCCAAGATCATTTTGTCTATTAGGAGTTGATCTTTTGTTCCTCTGCTATTGGGGCGGTTTCCTTTCTGCTCAGGTGGAAAGAGATTGTTTTCAACTAGATGCTGTTGTACTGCATCAGCTACCACACCAGTTAGTAATTTGAAAGTTGTTGGTAAGCAGGTAATTGGCCTGTAGTTACCTGGTGTTGCCCCTTTTGCTGGATTTTTCATTATTAGGTAGGTTTTCCCAGTTGTTAGCCACTTTTCAATTTCTCCTCCTTGTAGTATATTGTTGAACTGTTTGGCAATGAGTGGGTGTATAACAGTTAGATGTTTCAACCAAAACCCATGCAGTTCATCTTCACCTGGTGCTGACCAATTTTTGATTTTCTTTGCTCTTTTTTCTACCATTTTTGTTGTTATTACTAGTTCTTTCATTTCAACTTCTGTTTTATTTGCATCCACCTCTTTTAACCAAGCCGCATCCTTGTTGTATTTCTTTGGGTTATCCCATATCTGCTTCCAGAACTGCACTGTTTCTTCCTTGTCAGGTACTGACTGATTCCTTGCAGTTTCTCCATTGATGGATTGGTAGAAACGTTTCTGATTGGATTGAAATTGGAGGTTCTGCCTATAGTTTGCAATTCGAGCTTCATATCTACTGATTTTCCTGGCTATAGCTGTTATTTGTTGCTTTATTATTTCCAGTGCTTCCTTGATCTTCCTTGTTTCTAAGTGGTATTTCTTGATTAGGTATTCTTTGGTCTTCTTGTTCTTCAGCTTCTTTTCTTTCATCTGTTCTAGCTTGCTTGCATGTGATCTTAACTTGCTGATCTTATTTTCTAGTCTAACCTTCCATTTTTCTGGTGCACTGTTTGTTTGTTTTTCTTCTTTGTTGATTTTGCATCCCAGGTATTCTGTTATAACTGCAGCTGTGCTGTACATTAGTTGGTTTGTTTCTTGCAATGAATTGGTGCTTATACTTGATATTGCAATATTTGCATCTTTTAATGCTTGTGCTAGCTGTTTCTTTGGAACAAGCTTCAATGCAGGTAGCCTTATTCTGTTGTTTTTGTGCTGTTCTAGATGCTCAGTTATTCTTTGTTTCAATTCTTTTATTTCTTTAGTTAGAGGGTTTTGTTCTTCCTGAGGTAGAGGTGCCTGGTTTCCAAATGAGAACAGTTGTATATCTCTGCTAGATTCCTTCACTGCCAACTCCCCCTGGTTTGCCTCTACATTCTGAATTACTTCTGGTAAGGCTTTGATTTCTTTGCCCTGGGTAAACCTTTGCAGTTCGTCCAATTCTGTTTCTGTGAATACTTTATTTCGTGTTATAAATCGGCGTTGATCTGCTAGTCTCTGTTCTGTTATTTCTGATTCTGGATGTTGTTCTTTCCAGAACTGGTGCATTCGTTTTAGATATCCTCTTCTTGTTGGACTTGATCTGTAGTAACAGATCATTATTTCTTTGTTTTCCATCACTGTGTATCTGCGACGGGTAAACACCTTTTCTTCCAGTAGTTCTGCAGCTGCTGGCCCTGGTTGCTCAGCCAACAGTCCTGAGTCCTGTAACCCATTTTTCACCAGATATCCAGGAACTCCAATATCTAGTGCGGACCTTGTTAACCCGGGCGACGTCCGAGCCGGTATGGCATTCTGAAATTTACGTCTCACCATATTTTTTATGGGAGAGACACTCTTTGTCTGACTCCTCTGATGAGACCTGTCCAGTATGGTTGAACCTCTGGCATAGCTCTCATCTTCCTCAGAGTACACAAGCCCCACAACCACGTCAAGGTAGTGCCTCACTGGGGGTCAAGGTAGTGCCTCACTGGGGGATTATTATTATTATTATTATTATTATTATTATTATTATTATTATTATTATTTTATTTCCCAGTCTAGCATTATTCACATTTTCCAGTAAATACTGGGGTATACAGACACAGAAACAGCAACTTAGCATTTATCCACCTTATTCTATTTTTAGAGGTTGGAAAAGAACCTGACAGTTACTACTATTGTACTTACAGTCCGATGGTGTATCCACTGACTGTGTCCGTATTCCAAGGTTCCTCCTAACTCCCGAGTAAGCTGACTTGTATCGATGTAACCATGTAAGTCAGACACTGAATTTAACATGATGATCTGCACCAGAAAAAACATTACAAAAGGTTATAAAGAAAATCTTTCCACCAATAAATCTTGACATATAATTTATATGTCTAGTTTAATGAAAAGGAGGACTAGGGGTGAGATGGTAGCAGTGTTCCAATATCTAAGGGGCTGCTACAAAGAAGAGGTGGGCAACCTGTTCTGCAAAGCATTTGAAGGCAGGACAAGAAGCAACGGATGGAAACTTAACCAAGGAGAGAACCAACCTAGAACTAAGAAGAAATTTCCTGACAGTGAGAACAATTAATCAGTGGAACTACCTGCCTCCAGAAGTTGTGGATGCTCCAACACTGGAGGTTTTTAAGAAGAGACTGGAAAACATTTATCTGAAATGGTATAGAGCAGGGTCCCCAAACCCCGGTCCGTGGAGCGGTACCAGGCCGCATCATGCCAGCAACCGGGCCGTACAAACAAGCATCCCATCTGCGGGATGCAGGCAGCATACAAAACCATGCACCCTCCGGTCCATGGAAAAACCTCTCTCCACGTAACCAGTCCCTGGGGCCCAAAAGGTTGGGGACCTCTGGTATAGAGTTTCCTGCCTGAGCAGGGGGTTGGACTAGAAAACCTCTAATGTCCTTTCCAACTCAGTTATTCTGTTATATGTATGACTTTCCCTATGGGCTTCTCCATTGACTTTGCTTGTTGGAAACTGCCTGGGGACGTTACAACTGGAGATAACATCATTGTGGGATGCTACCGACGGCCATAAGTGCAAGAACTAGTTGTAAGTCACTTTTTTCAGCACTTATCGCAGCTTCAAATGGCCACTAAACAAATAGCTGTTAAGTCAAGGACTACCTGTAATAATACAGAATATACAACATTAACGCATCGGTGAGTCAGGGCTACTAAGAACTTTTCAATGAAGTGCTTGGCTTTATTTTATAGACAGGTAGTTCTCAACTTATGACCATCATGGAACCTGTCCATTATGGCTGTAAGTTGTAACAGTTGTAAAATAGGGCAGTCATGTGACCCACCAGATTTTACTTTTTTTTTTTTGCAGTGCAAACACATGGTTCATATGGGCACAGATAAAACCATTGTAAAATGTAGTCACATGATCACAAGATGCTGCAGCCCAAGATGCAGCTGTTCAGCCACATGATCATAGAGGGAAGGTCGGACCATTGTAATTTTTAATCCAGGTCGTTAAGTAGCCCCAAGGTAGGTCTTGTTGTGATTCCTCGGCGGCCAGTGGATCCGACAGCTGAGTCTGAGGAATCAGATGAGGGGCCTGGAGAGAGTCAGAGGAAGGCTCTGAGAAGCTCCAAGACTTACAGTCGGACGAGGAGCCTGGCCCCTCTACTCATGCTCAGGCTGAGACACAGCTGTGCTGGGAGCCTGAATTTGACAGTGATGAAGAACAGTTGGGACAAATCCCGGATACACAAAAGCGCAGGCAAGAGAAGCGAGTAGGACAGAGGAATGCAATGGGGCAGCTCCAAAGCAAAGGAGAAGGCATTAGGAAGCCAAGCCTTGGCTGAATTATAAAAGGGAAGGTGGGGGAGGTGCTGGTTGCCGAAGGCAATCATACATGTTGAGAAATCGAGTTTCTGTGAACTGTGTTTTGTTTGCCTTGGACATTGACTCAGGTCTGTGAGAATAAAAGGGGTTGGTTTTGCTTGTTTCTTGGAAGAGGGGTTTCTCCTTTTGGACTCACATAGGCTGGGAAAGAACAGGTCTGTCCTAACTTTGAATGATTGTTAAACCACCAGTCAAGGTAAGTCAAGGGACTATACAGGGACTATTCAAAAATATCACCGATGCTCAACTGCAATTCAACATTTAGTCCTTTGAACTTTTTTTCTCCACCAAAACTCTCCTCGACTTACAACAGTGCATTTAGTGACCATTTGAAGTTACAGCAGCACTGATAAAAGTGACTTATGACCATTTTTCTCACTTACGACCATTGCAGCATTCCCCGTGGTCACATGATCAAAATTTGGAAGCTAGGTAATTAATAATAACAGTGACAATGACAATAACAATAATACAGTTGGAAGGGAACTTGGAGGTCTTCTAGTCCAACCCTCTGCACTCAGGCAGGAAACCCTATACCATTTCAGACAAATGGCTGTCCAGTCTTTTCTTAAAAACGTCCAGTGTTGAAGCAGTCGCAACTTCTGGAGGCAGGTTGGTTCATATTTATGACGGTTGCAGTATCCCGGGTTTGTGTGATCCCCTTTTGCGACCTTCTGACAAGCAAAGTCAATGGGGGAAGACGGATTCGCTTAACAACCAGTGACTGACTTAACAACTGCAGGGATTCACTTAACAATTGCTTGTAAAATGGGGCAAAATTCACCTAACAACTGTCTCACTTAGAGACGGAAATTTTGGGCTCCGTTGCCGTCGTTAAATCGAGGACTAACTGTAGTTCTGCTGGATGGGACATGAAGAGAAGGGGAGAGATACTTGCTGGAGGCCAGAGATGCAGAATCAGAAGGAGAAAAGTGCTTACCGGTACCTTCATTTTAAAGTCATCGCGATACAGCTTAATGCCGATGTCAGCGATCGCCCTTTGGATGAAACGGGACGGCCGTAGGACAAACACTAACTGCAAATTCCCGGGAAACGCTCCCTAAAAAGACAGGAAAAGGGAAAGGGATCTGTTCTAAATCCGTAGTGCTCCGAAAATACCCTTCCATCCTTTGAAGAAGAGGGGGGAAAAGCACTGAAGGCCAAATCCACCAAGCTGGGCACTAGAGCGCCAATTTAATGCTATCCGTGCAATTACTCTTATACCAGTGTTTCCCAAACTTGACAATTTTAAGGCATGAGGACTTCAACTCCCAGAATTCCACAGCCAGCAACGCTGGCTGTGGAATTCTGGGAGTTGAAGTCCACATGCCTTAAAATTGTCAAGTTTGGGAAACACTGCTCTTATACTAATACAGCAGTTTTTAATATTGTCTGTTGTTGACTCTTGGTTGGCCACCCCTTCCAGCGTGAACTTCTGACAGGTTTCAAAGCTGAACGTTAAGACAGGCCTTCCTCACTCACCATTTGGACATTTCATTGTTTATTTTATTCAGGCCTCGCCAGCCTTTCCAATCAGTTATTGGGAACAGTTTTCATGAGGAGACAAAATCGATAAAACCAACCAAAACTTAATCAACCACTGTGAGATTAAAAGAATAAGACAAGAGATATGCATAGGTTCAGTGGTGGGATTCAAGTATGTGAACAACCGGTTCTCTGTGTGGATGCCGCTTCAGGAAGTCCATTTTGGGCCCGGGCAACAAAAAATTAGCTACCGGTTCTGCCGAAGTGGTGCAAACTGGCTGAATCCCACCACTCCATAGGCTGAAGATCTGTCTCTGGCGTCTCTAAGAGTTGTAATGAAAATCTGATTTTTATAGTAATAAAAGGAGAAGAAGTAACAAAAGGAAAAGACCACAGTCAAGGGGTTAAATCCACAAGGACCTCGGCTCTGGCTAGCCTCCAGGAGAAACTTCTTGACTATGGTATACAAGCTGTCACTCAGTGGAACAGACTGTCACAGGAAATAGTGAGGTCTTCCCCCACGGGCCAGAGGGTCAATTGTCAGAGATGTAGTAGTACAGCGGTTCTCAACCTATGGGTCGCGACCCCATTTGGGGTCGAACGACCATTTTACGGGGGTCACCAAACAACGCGATCCGCCATTTTTCCCCCTCAGGGGGCGGTGCCGCGCATGCGCGCCATGCATGGGGGCGCCGCCACGCATGCACGCCGCGCATGGGGGCGCCACCGCGCATGCGCGCCGCGTCCGTGTGACGGGGGTCGCCGTCACACAAACGTTGAGAACCGCTGTAGTAGTAGATCATGTATTGATGAGAGGATGACCAACAGTGGGAAGGGGGAGGGGAAACAGGGAGATAAGGAAGGGGTGCGAGACCGAGAAAGAGGGAAGGAGAAAGGAGAGAGGCAGGTGGGAAAGGGAGAGAGGGAGAAGGAGAAGGAGAGAAAGAGGGAGGAAAAGGGGAGACAGGGAGAAGGAAAGGAGAAAGACAAGAGGTGAAGAGAGGTGAGCAGGGAAGAAAGGGGAGATGGAGATGGGGAGAAAGAGAGGAAGGGAGAAGGGGAGGAGGGAGAGAGGGAGGGAGAGATGGAGACAGAGAAAGGAGAGGGAGAGGGGGAAAATGGAAGGAGGGTGAGAGAGAAAGGGGAGATGGAGAAGAGGAAAGGAGAGAGGGAGGCAAAAAGATAGAGGGAGGTGGGAAAGGGAGAGAAAGAAGAAGAGGAGAAAGGGAGAGAGGGAGGGAAAGAAGGAGAAGGAAAGGAGAAAGACAAAGGTGGAGGGGTGAGAAGGGAAGACGGGAGAGGGAGATGTGGAGAGAGGGAGAAGGGGAGAAGGAGGGAAAGAGGGAGGGAAAGGGGAGATGGAAACAGAGAAAGGAGGGAGAGAGAGTGAGAGGAGGGAGAGAGACAGAGGGAAAGGGGATATAAGGAGAGGGAGGCAAAGAGAAAAAGAGAGATGTGAGGGAGAGGGGGAGAGAAGGAGAGAAGGAGGAACAAAGACGGAGAGGAAGGGGAGAGAAGGGATGATGGAGAGGAAGAAAGGAGAGACAGAGGTGAACAAGTGGGAAAACGGGGGAGGGAGATGGAGAGGGAGGGAGAGAGGGAAAGGGAAAAGAGAGGCGATGGAGAGAAGGGAAAAATAAAAAAGAGAGGGAGGAGGGAGAGGTGGAAAAACAGTGTGTGTGGTTGCAATGTCTTGAACCTATTTAGGTCAGCCTGCATTTTTAGTCTTTGTTTTGAGATTCCTAACCACATTTGACGTTGCCTTACAGCTTTACAAAGTTTCCTGCCTGCTTCCTCCATTCAATGCAGAAGGAAGGGAAAAATATTTCCAACCGCATCCCTTCTTGTGGTTGTGGTTTATAAACATTTTTTCCCATGACCCTATTTCACCACAAATGCACTGGCTGCTTCACCCAAAACCTGCTCTTGGCAAATTTATCAGTACTATTATTTAATTTACATCTCGCTGTGGTTTGTACCATTGAAGGCAGCTTACGTAATGCTTCTATTCCTTATTCCTGAATGATTCTGGCCCAAGAACACATCAGGCAACTTCCGGTCTGAATTTCAACTGACCTGGAACAGGGTTCACACTTCGTTTTTAAAACCTACCGCGGTTTGTTTACCCTTAGATTGAGCAAGCTGCATGAATCTAACCATGATGATTTGCAAACTATGTTACAGCTCAGCATGCTGGGCGATCCATATAACAAGGATGTTTTATTTTAAAAGCCATGGGTGTGTATACAGACTTAAGAGCAAAAGCGGGAACCCTGTCCACAATCCCTTCACACCCGCCAGTCTCCGTGCAGGAATAATTAACGTGTGAAAGTAAATACCACTGAAACCGGGCATCGTCCTTTTCAACAGCGCCCTTCAAAGCATTGCATAAACATCGCCTTTTAGGGCCAGGCTATTTATATTTTCGTGCACTTTCGCTTGCAGAAGAAAAACAGTGAACCGTCTTTGCCCGAGCGGCTTTTTCGGGCTCCGGAGAGAAGAGCCCACGGGCCCAATTTCGCTTCGAGGGGGGGGGGGGACACACACAGCAACTCGTGCACGCGTGCATACGTGGGAATCCGGCCAGCAGCAGAGCGGGAGCGGGTTCGGCACCTTTCCCTCCCTTTCGGCGTGCCGTGCAATCAATCCACGGCCGTAAAGAAAGACGGCAAGAGAAGCCAACCCCCTCCTCCCACTCCGAAATCTGTAAAATGCAAGTGTACTGCAACCCCCGCCTCCCCCCACCCCCCATTTCTCCCGAGGATGCTACGGCTCTCTCGGTAACGGCTGCAGCGGCTCTTTGCAGAAATGCGGGCTTTTTTCGCAGAAAAGTCAGGCGGGGGGGGGGGAGGACCGCACGAGCCGCCGCTGTTTCTCCGCATGCAACAGGGGCGCCGTTATCTGGAGGGCAGGCAAAGAGATTGGGAGTTTTTTTGCAAGAAGCATCATGATTAAACCCTCGAGCCGTGGAAGTTGGCACTTACTGCGATTCGGGTGAGCGATGCCTTGACCGCGCTCCATTTGTCCCGCCGTCTGTCTATGATGATGATGAACCCGATGCTGGCAGCCTCCAGACTGCAAAATAAGCAGAGCGAATATTTGGGGAGTGCAAAGAGGCAGCCCCGGCCCTTTCCCAGCCACCTTACTGCAGCAAAATCCCCGGGCCGCGGCGACCCGCTCCGAGCCGGGGCAGGGGCACGGGCGGCAAGCGGCACGCCACGTTTCCTCCCTTCACCGGGTCCGCTTTTCCCAAACGTGGGTCGTTTAAACCTCCTCCCCCCCTACGATCGTTTATGTCAGATTGCAGCCTTTCCCCCCCCAAATGATAACAGCCCGACGAGTTGGGGATTCTTTGCGGACCTCAACCTTGCAAAAGCAAATGCCTGGAGCAAGGGGGGGGGGGGAAGAAAAGCCAGGAGGCTTGGTGCGGGCCAGGAGCAAAATCGTGCCAGCCCATATAGCGGTGGTGGTGAACCTACGGCACGGGTGCCAGAGGTGGCACTCAGAGCCCTCTCTATGGGCACGTGTGCCGTCACCCCAATCCTAGGCGTTCAGCTGGATTTTATAAAACCTTTTCACTTTAGGTCTCTGCAGCCGTGTGCAAAAAGAAAAAAAAGGGTTCAATCAATCAGTCAATTTCAACTTCTGGCGGGAAAAAAAAGTTTCTTGCAAAGTTGGAATTGATTGACTGAACTTTTTAGTCCCACCCAGTCTGCCCTTATCATGGCAGCCATGCTCACCCCAATGGGCCACACCCAACCAATGGGCCACACCCACCCGGCACTTGATGATGCATAAGTGGGTTTTGGGTTGCAATTTGGGCACTCGGTCTCTAAAAGGTTCGCCATCGCTGCTATATAGTATCTCTCTGGCTCTTTTTAAGAAGTTACACGTGCGTTCGGAAATAGGTAATCGAGAAACATCTGCGCATTCGCTGGAGTGCATGGTCCTTATCAATGAGTGACTGCAGAATTAATAAGGTGGGCTGGCTTTCAGTGCCAGCAGTTCTGCTGGGATCTAGCCCTGGGACCTCTTTTACAAGTCCAAGCCAACCCCCCCCCCACTCCTGCATTTGGAAGAGAGCCCCCCCCCTCTTTTTTAAAATAATGTATCTTACTGAAAACTTGAGAATCTCTCTCCCATATAGTCCCTGGCCACAGGTGAGCCCAAAATGTTTGTTGCTATGCGAAACAGTTGTTCAGTGAGTTTTGTCCCATTTTACAATCTTGCCACAATTATTGAGTGAATCACTGCAGTTAGTAACTGCAGTTGTTACATTACTAAGTGAGTAACCCAGTTGTTAAGTGGATCTGGCTTCTCCATTGACTTTGTCAGAAGGTTGCAAAAGGGGATCACGTGACCCCGGGAGACAGCAACCACTATCATAAATATGAGTCAATTGCCAAATATCTGAATTTTGATCACATGACCATGGGGATGTTGCAAGGGTGGTGTGAAAAGCCGTCATAAGTCACTTTTTTTTTTAGTGCCGTTGTAACTTTGAATGGAATGGCCGTAAAGATGAACTATTGTTAAGTCGAGGACTACCTGGTACTTGTAATGTGGATGCTTGTTTTTACTGACTGCCAACAGAGGACAATTAAGAACTCAAGAGGCATAATTAGCCCTTTGTCTTGATGTTCAAAGGGATCTGTTTCATATAGCTGTTTCATTTTTGTTTTTGCTACATGCCACCAGTTTATCCTTCTCATTTTTTTGGAAAATATATGTAAAAAATTTAAGCGTAAGACAGAATTGGGGAGGTGACCTGCAACTCAGAATCACAGAATCATGAAATAGAAAAAGATGGAATGATTAATTGGAGATAGTCTAATCCAGTGGTTCTCAACCTGTGGGTTGGGACCCCATTTGGGGTCGAACGACCATTTCACGGGGGTCGCCAAACAACGCAGTCCGCCATTTTTTCCCCCTTTTCCTTAGCTGTGCTACTCCCTTTTATTCTATTGGCTTTTGAAAAGCCAATAGAATAGACTCTCTTGAATAGAGTCTAATTCTATTGGCTTTCCAAAGCCAATAGGAATTGTCCAGGCTGTCTCTGCCCTGCTGAGCCCGCCAAAAGCCCCATTCTGCAAACGGTGCTGCACCAGTTGAGTAGTCCTCGACTTACGACCGGTTGAGTAGTCCTCGACTTATGACCGGTTGGGGGTCACGGCATTAAAAAGGTTGAGAACCACTGGTCTAATCCAATGTTTCACAACCTTGGTAACTTTAGAATATGTGGACCTCAACTCTCAGAATTCTGTAATCCATATACATTAAGAAGGATGGACTTCAGCTCCCAGAATTCCCCAGCCATCATGCTTTAAAATGGATGGACCTCAACTCCCAGAATGCTGGTTGGGAATTCTAGAAGTTAAACTCCACACATTTAAAAGTTGCCAAGGTTGAGAACCACTAATCTAATCCAAGCTTTGTTTGGTTAGTGTGTGAATCCTGTTTTGTGTAGCTTAGCACCCTGGGTGAATCCAGGACATCTGATTTTCTCAAGATTCCCAATATTGTACAAACAATAGAAAGAGGAAATGGATTATTCAGTAAAGCAGGTTAAACCAGGTTAAACACAGCTTTTGCCTCTATTCCTAATCTATTAACTAGCAGTTTCCATCATCATATTACAGATCAATGCTCAGGTTTTTTTTTGCTGAATTTCACACTAGGAAAGATTGTGTCAGTTTTAATTTGACACCTGGCCTGCACAGAAAGAAGCTCATTCTGCATTAGTGTGCAGAAGTGTTGGCCATCATACAGTTTATTGTTTTGGAATGAAGATGTTTTCAAGCACTTATTTTAGAAATCAGAGGAAAATGTTATAAGGTGAATAAACAGATCCAGAGCAATATTTGGCACAAAAATTAAAGAGTGACAGCCCAGGATGTTTTGCTATTTGTACTGAGTGCAGGAAGAATGGGCACAAAGTCCTGGGAACAAAAGGGTATTTTCTTCCCAGTAAACATAAAAGATGTGTGCAGAAAACCATAGAGTTGGAAGGGGGCCATTTAAGCTATTGCATCCAACTTCCAGATTAGAAAAGAATAGAGCTGGAAGGGACCTTGGAGGTCTTCTAGTCCAGCCCCCCACCAGTCATTGATGGCTGTCCAACCTCAACACCTCCAATGAAAGAGAGAGCATCACCTCTCTGAGTAATGGATTCATCCATCACTGTCTAACACTCTCCCTCCCTCCGTCCCTTCCTTCCTCCCTCCTTCCTTCCTCCCTCCCTCCCTCCCTCCCTTCCCCTCTTTATGGCTCCCATAGCCAGACATTATCCTAGCGTGTAATAAGACTTTTTCTTCCATAAAGTAAAGCCATTATTTGATATCCCTAGACCAGGGGTAGGCAACCTTGACTCTTTTATGACTCGTGGACTTCAATTCCCAGAATTCCTGAGTCAGCGTTGCCTACCCCTGCCCTACACCAACACTATCGGCATTGACAAAATCACCATAGGTCAATTGCGAAAGGCAGCTTTGCTTGGAACAGTTGATCCTGCAATCCTGCAATGATTCCTTTAAGATAGGGTTGTGGAACTATGGCCCTTGTATGATTTGTGGACTTCAACTCATGGGGGCCATAGTTCCACACCTCTGTTTTAAGGCCATCAAACATCCACATCTGCCTATCCCAGGTCCTTGGGAGGAGATCTTCAAACTTGGCCCTTTTAGGACTTGTGGACTGGTTTGTGCCTGGCTGAGGAATTCTAGGAGTTGAAGTCCACAAGTCCTAAAAGGGCCAGGTTTGAAGACCCTTGCGATAGGTAGACAAAAATACCAAATCCAGTCTAAACATCTGACTGACTGTGCAACCAACCAATATAAAATAATTTATTAAACCTATAGTTGGAACAGGATTAGAACATGATTTTAACAGAGAAAACAGCATAGAAAAATAATTAAATGGATACCACACCATTACTGAGGTTCTAATCTGAACAGGACTAGGAATTGAGTCTTAGGAAAAAGCAAATTAAAAATACGACATGCTAGCACATCCATATCCATATATCTTTATATCCATACATATTTTTAAACATTTCCTTTAATTTATGGTAGGAAACACTTAAAAGAAACATGCTATTTTGCACATAAATGTATGAGTATTTTATTCATTCATTTAAGATCATGAGAAAAAGTAATAAGTTTCTATGCTGTTTCTGAGTATCTAGAACTATAATGCTGAGGTATTTTGGAGAATTGTGTCATTGTGTATAGGTGTGATTTGATTTGAGCAATGATCAGTGAGCCAGGTTATGCAATAGGAAAGTTATTTATTTACAGGAAATCCATAAACAAAGAGACAAGGAAACTTTAGCAACTACATCCTACCAGGAGGACCAGAGAACGTGTAATAATAATAATAATAAAGTTGGAAGGGACCTTGGAGGTCATCTAGTCCAACCCTCTATGGGTAAGTTGCTGATCAAAATGGGCAAGCATTTAAGATGACAAAGCAGGAAAAAGTGTGGGAGCAAACACACAGAATATTCTTAACCACCTACACTTCCCCTTTGTGGTCAAGACGTTGCACAAGATGCTACACAACCAGGATCACTGATGTCATATGTTCTTGAAGGGATCAAACAAAGTAATTTTTTATTTACTGTATAACGCAGTCATATTGTTCGTTCTTTCTTGTTTGTGCTCTGTACTTTGTTCAGAGATAACTTAAAATTGTGCTGACCAAGGAGAAAGAAAGAGCTTAGCTGTAACTTTAAATGTGTTTGCTACAGCTTTATGTAACTTTATGTAATTTTAAACCGCTTTAACTTGCCCAAGGAGAAAGTTCTGGGGTGCTTGCCAGCAATTGTGTATTTGAAGCTGTAAACTCTGTAACAAGCTGTAACTGATATAATCTGATAAAGGAAACAGGTATTCAGAAGAAAGAGAAATCTTTTAGCAGCCTGTTAGCGTGAGAGAGTGCCTTAGATATAAAAGGGAAATTTTTTATTAGTGTATGTGTGTGTGTGTGCGCCTTTTCTCCTCTGTCTCTGCGTTAGAAACAAGAGTGTCAACGCTGCTAACTTTGGATGTTCTTCCTCTGACAATATACGAAGACGC